AGGGCATGGTGAACCGTCAGTAAACATTAGCATTCCTCAAAGACCTTAAATTCCTGTTAATCAAGAGTTTCACTCCTAGATACGTGCTCAAGAGAATTTGAATATGTCCACATACATGCCAGTGTATGCACTGGTGTTTATGGCAGATTCTCTGCTGACAACCAAAGGGAAAAAGCCCAATTGCCCACCAGTTAGCAAGCAAATGAACAGTAGAATATTGTTCATCAGATGGACCTTAAAAGCACGCCAGGTGAAGTTAGCCAGAGGCCATGTTTCTGATTTTGTTCCTGTGAGATGTCCAGAATAAGATGAATGCTGGGTGGGTATAAAGAGGGAAGGATTGGCGTGCCTGCTGCAGGCACAGTGATATTCTAGAATAAGATTGTGAGAGTCACAGTTTTGTGCACAGAGAATGAGGGACTCTTGGCATGTTTAAATGTCTTGTTTTTAATTATCTGCATGTGCATCCGTGTCAGGGTATGTTCATGTGAGCCGGTACCCGAAGAGGCTGGAGGGGTGTGTTGGATCTCCTGGAGCTGGAGTTCTGGGCAGGGGTGAGCTGTCCAGTGTGGGCGCTGGGAACTGAGCTTAGGTTCCCTGCAAGAGCAGTCAATACTCTTAGTTGTTGAGCTATCCTGCCAGCCCCTGGACTCTGGTATGGACTCTTGTATTTTAGAAACAAACTCCAGCTATACTATGCATGTTTACTTGGTGTTTTGCAGGTTTCAAAGTATGTACCGGTAACCAAGTAAAGTGACTGATTTCCAGTCTAGAGCTAATTAAAAGCCAACTGTAAGTGGCCTCCCCTCCCCCATTTCCCTGTTACAGTCATTAGAATCACGCTGAGACACAGCTAGTTTTTCTAAAAAACGACGTCTAATTATTTGAAGTAGACTATGAAAAATGAATTCAGAAACATGTTATTTTAAAATATAACTGCTTTATAATCAGAAGTATCTTCCATACAGTTTGAGATTTCAGATTCTGAGGTAGAGATGAACAGGTCTGTCTACATCAGATGGCTGGTAGAAGCCCATGTTACAGGAGACTATGGGCCAGCTTATTAAATACTTAATACCCGAGTGTAACCTGTAATTATAATCTGACAAAAAGAATATTCTTTCGTGTTCCACTTTACTCAAGTAGAAAAACCAGGTCTACACTATCAGTGACTTCAGCATGGTGTTGTCACCAGTTTCAGTAACATGAGGGATAACTAGGAATTCCTTCACCGTTCTCTGTGACTTGGGTTTTTCTTTCCACACTTGGCTTGCTGGCAGCTGCCTGGCTCGCTGGCAGGAGTCCTCGGCACTGCAAGCTGTAGTCTTGTGTTTCCCTAGCTACAGGGATCTTTGCTGCTGAGAAGTTGGCTGCCCAGCCTAGGGAACCAGACCCAGAATGTATGATGAGTTGGGCGGGCACAAACCCAGAACTGAACAAAGGCTTGGAAGAGGCTGGTCTCTCCTTAAGAGAGCCTAATGCTGCCACCTAGTGGGAAAATGGTGCAAAAGCACTCACGCTGTATGGCCTGCAACAACAGCTCATTAAATGAACTTAATGTGTAACTTCATTAAATGAACTTAATATGTAACTTTCATAGCTTGTGGCCACTGAAACTTGTTGGGTGATTTTAAAAATGTGGCACATTGACTTGGCAGGTGAATTTTGGGGCAAAGATGAGAAACTTATAGACAGTGTGCCACACAGCTGTCTAATGAAGAGATATGTGAGGCGAACATGCTTACCATGTTAAAGGAACAAGGGGAGAGAGGAGGAGAGTGCCTAGGCAGGAGAGGCCCGAGCTACATGGAAAATGGAGTCATGGTGGGATAGGACCTCCTTAGACCCATGGATTTACTTAGGGTCGTATTCTAAACTGTGGCTGCAGAACGTGGCAGAGGCATTGAGGAAGCAGTTGCAGTGCAGGGAAACTGATGCTGGGTGGATTCTGGAGCACAATGACTGACTGGGAGCAAAGCAGTTTGAGGACATGGAGAAAACAGTATGCCGAGGGCAGTTTGGATGGCCCAAGGTTTGGAGCCTGGAGAAATATCGTCACTGCCTCAGATGGGTAGGAATGTGGATGCAATGGGCTTTGGAGGCCAGGGAGGAGGTTCAGTTTGCATGACTGGTCTGGGATAATGTTCACTGCTACTTGGCCATCATGCAAGCCTGGATGTGGGGGGAGATGACACTTGGGGAACTGCCAAATTTGTGTTTGTTACAAATTATGTGGTTGGTTGAGATCAAGGAATGAGGGTAAAGGAGCCCAGCAGTCATCATTCTGGATCTCTCATTTTCTTGATGAAATAGATGGAGCATCTAGGAGTGAAGATGCTGGGTTCCCCGGAGGGGAGAAGAGAATAATTCCACCAGGGACTACCCCAGGCCTAGGTGACTTTCTGAAGCCATAACCACAGTGCTTAGAAAGTCTCAGCTTAGCATTGATTCCAAAGATCAGAAAGCTGGGAGGCAACATACAAACAAGAGGCAGTTTTCTGTCACCCTGGAGAGGGCCCTGCTGAAGGTGGACATTTTCTTGAGTGTCCACACTGTTGATTCTTTGGAAGAGGTGAGGCCTAGAGATTAGTGTTGTGGAGCATCTCGATGGGGAACATATACATCCCAGTGTAATGTCACCAGAGCAGCAGGTTATACTCTTCTCTCTGTCTGTGTGTGTGCGCGCACGCACGCGTGCTTATAGGTATATATACCGCATGGATGCAGAGGCCTGTGGCAGCCAGAACAAGGTGTCCGAGCCCTTGGAACTGCACTCTGGTGATTGTGTGTCACTGTTGTGGTTGCTGGGAGCTGACCTCTGTCCTCTGCAAGAGCAACAAGTGCTCTTACCATGGAGACGTCTTTCTAGCCCACAATGTTTTCTTTTGAGACAAGATCCTACCACGTACCCCTGGCTAGTCTAAATTCAGACCTTCTCCTGCCTCTGCCCTGAGTGCTGGGATTGAAGTTACCTGCTGCACGCTGGTTGGTAGCAGGTTAGATCATACACTCCCTGCTGCCCTGGGATGCCGTTCTAACTTGAAATGAGCCGATGTGTACAAAGTACCTGGGTGTGCTGCATCTTCGGGATGAGTTACTGTCTCCCAAAGCTGCAGCTGTGCAGCATCCCTGGGCCAGACCGCTCTACTTCAGGTGCGTGTGATGTTTTTTAAGCAGTCATGAGTCTTGATGGCGAGTGTCTTTTCCCATTGGGCCATCCCACTGGACCCTCTGCGATACAAGCGTGGGGTAGGCGAAGTGTACATTTCATTCTAGGTAAAGCCCAGGGCCTCGGGGTAAAGGGTGGGGGGAAGGAATGGAACCCTGAATGCTAGGGGCAGATAGCATGAAGTTGCTTCATGTGCTGTCAGTGTGGCTACTTTTTATCCTTCTTACTCATTTTGAGTTGTTTTTTTCCCAGAGTGCTGAGCTTTGCTTTAAAACCCTCAACTATTACTCCCAGTTCACCGGTCCTTACAGAGCTTGCCATCTTTGATGTACCAGATCAAAGTTATCCTTCTCCCATGGCTGTATATGCCTCAATGCCATTCTTCATTTCCCATTCCTATTCATGTCTTTCTGTGCAACTCTGACATTGAATGCTCATCTCTTCTATCTCAGTGTTGGTTCTCTGGATAATACAGAACTATCTGGAAAAAAAATACCCAGTGTCTGCCTGGTTTGGGAGAAAAAGGATGCTCTAGAAGGGGGGTTAGCTCAGGCTCTTGCTTTACAAAAAGGACGAAACGTGGATTACCATGCAGCATGCAGGGGGGAGGGGCAGCAGAGTTCCACCCACTCTGAGATGTGTTTGTTCCATGCCCCATATTTGGGGAAATCTTACAGAATGGGTCGATGGCTTGGAAGAGGAACAAAGAGAAGTTGATGCTACCTGGAAGGGTTAAGACATGTTAATGGCTGAAGTCTACCAACCACCAAGTGTCTTTGGACAACCGTGCTGGGAGAGATGCTAAGGCTCAGTGGGAGGCAGCCAGGGAAGAGCTGCCTGCTTTGGCAGCTGTCAACCTGAATAGACCCATCTAGTTTCATCTGTGCTCCTTCCTGTGCGCCGCTACCCCCCCCATACCATGATTTTCAAGCAAATGCGAATGAGTATTTGACTTTGTGAATAATCCCTTAGAGGTTGTGAGAGTAAGTACCAACCGAGGGAGCTCAGGTTTTCAGTATTCTGTCATTCAGGGTCAAACCCAAGGCAACTGCCTTTTCTTGATGGGTCAGTAGAGGGACAGAGCCTGTCCTTGTGAAGCAGCCTCTCTCCTAAGATCCTAGAAACCATAGCTGATTCAAAGACACTGCATGTGAGAAAGCTCCAGAGCGTTCGAGAGCTATGCACTGCCCCATCAGCTGTTCCCACGCTGTGCACCTGGGTTGTGTAACTGCCTCAGCAAGTCCCTCCCACTATGTGTAGGGAACCGTCCCGGTTATGCTGTACAATCTCATTGTACGTGGGAAGCATCAGGCCTCTTCTGGGCCAGAGTCTGTGGAAAGAAGCCTGGCAGTCTGATTATTTGGGACACCGAAGTTTTGAGAGTCCCATTACTCTTTACTTTTACTTTCCCTGACATCCCTCAGCCAGTTCTCCTTCCCAGCTGCTAGGCAGACTTGCTGATTCGGCACACAGGTTCATTATTGAGCCCATCTCCTCCGTCCGGAACACTGACACTTGATGCTGCTGTTGGGACTCAGGTGTGAGCAGGGCCAGTCTCCTCCTCCGGTGGCCCCTGACAGAGGTGAGGGCTCAGAGGTCTGCCTTGTAGTCTGTAAAGGCCCTAGATGTGACTGATTTATTTGTGGTGCCAGGAGGCTGCTCTTCCACTGAACTGTACCCGCAGCTCTCCACAGGCGACTTCTGTAAAGATTGGAAAGTTTTGATTTCCTGTATCAAAGGTGGTTTTGCATTTCTTCAGTTTTGACACTCTACCGTTCTGTAGTCACCACCTCAGAATGCTTTCCTTACAGAAGCCCTCGCTTTCCCACAGGTGTCCTCCCTGAGGAATGAGAAGCGAAGCTCCTCCTATCTCCTCTCTGCCCCAGAAGGCGGCCCAGGAGAACTCGCTGGCCAGCACCCTCAGGACACGGGAGTGAGCTACACAGAGTCCTACTTGAAAAAGAAGCGTGTGTACTGAACTCGTCGTCTCCTGCCCACCTGCTGCGGTCCTCTGCAGCGTCTGCTGCTCATCGCTGCCTTAACTTCATCCACACTAGCCATATCCTTTCAATACGGGTGTCTGACTTCCCAGAAGGAGCCGTCATGCAGCAGGCCCATCAGCCAAATACCCAACTAGCAATAAGAGACGTCATTGGTTGAGGGCATTTTCCACTAGCATTAAATGTGTCTTAATCCATGTGATAACAGCTCAGCTCACTGGAGAATCAGCATTCCAACAGTTCTTGTTTCGGGCCTGGGGACAATTTGACATCATACAGTCTGAAGCAATAAATGGGAAACTGTTTTGTTTCCTTAGCCTTAGAATGAATTTCCTATAAGCCAATGTGCATTTCCCTTACTCTCCCTAAGAATAATCTCATCCGTAGTCTTTAAGGACCTTTGCCTCCAACAGCAAGGGTGCCGGTACCACCCGTGCAACAGTGATGCCACATAGACACTTGAAATGGAGACTCCACGAAATACCAATCCAGTGGCAGAGTGAGAGTAATGTCACTTCAGATGCTTGACTTCCAAGGTGTCATTTACCATTTATACCTTTTGTGGAAAACAAAGTACTTCAGGAAAAGTTACTTTGCTTATATAATACAGGGGTTGGCCAAGTACACGCTAGGGCTACATGTAGTCCACCACCTAGTTTTGTGCTGATGCTGAATAAGTGATTACACTTCTAAATGCCTGGGGTAGGGGAGAACTCACAACATGAAACTGCAATTTTAGTGTCCCCAAGATTTTATTTGGAACATAGTGAAGCTCACTTATTTACATATTATGTAGTTTTGTATCACTACAGGAACCAAGTAGCCTCAACAGAGACCCACAGAGCCTGCAAAGCCTGGGACATTTACTCTGTCCTTATACGTAAGATTTGCTGGCCTGTCTCCCTATTGCTTCTGTCTTATGGTTAGAAGGTTAACCTTTGAGAGACTGGCACATGCACGGAGCCAAGGTTTCTGTGCTGTTTCCTAGCACACGGGAGTGAAGATCTAATCACTAGACAAGGTGGTGACTCGGCAGCACAGTCCACACGGCCATTTCTGAAGGAGTCCATGGACAGTGTGTGGGACAGTTCTGAGCTAATTAAAGCTCTACCTCACTCTGGTTTCTTTCTCATTCTTTGGGAGTTAAGCTGAAAGATTACAGCTATTTAATCCAAGTTCCTTCTGGAAGAGTGTGTCTTAATGTGACTTTTGGCCTCACCATTTTCTGAAAACCTTGGTATGAGTTAGAGAAACCTCTTTCCATCTAGAAGTCTGTTAAGAGATTACAGCTGATGGAGATTGGGATCTCGGTGATCCTACTCTATAGGATCAGATTATTAAAATACCTTATGGGGGGGACTTACCATTTTGACTATGATATAAATCTCCAGCATTAATTATAAAGTCTAAAACTGGTACATATGTTATACACTACACAAAGAATTTTACTTGGTCTAATTTATTGCATATTACCAGCTTCCCTTGAAAAATGACAGCTAACACAGTAAGACAGTCCTAAGCATACGACCTCCGGCTGACCAGGATGAGGCGAGTAGCAGAGACTAACGGCTTCTCCAAGTCTGCATGGAGAAGCCCGCCCTCCTGCTGCTGCATCCCGTCTCCTCAGCACTTGGTCAGTTTTACTTCATGCAAACAGAACATAGGGAGGATAGCGACTGCGACCCTGGAGCTGAAAGTGAGGAACCAGCTGAAGAACTTACGGCTCTGCACTACAGCACATGGGCTCTTCCTCCATACCAGCCTGTGCCCGTTATCCCAGGTCAGAAGAGACGTGCAAACCACGTGATGTTAGTACAAGGTCATTACAACCCCCAGAGTCTAGGCTGTTATTTTTCTATGTTAGCCAATGGTTTGAAATGCTTTCAAAATGCAGACTTATTAAAAGAAATATGCATGTGAAGTCTTTAGTATGTTTATTTGTATAAAGAGTAAACAAAGTGCATATAGAGCAGGCCACAGGTTTGACAAGTACAGCAACTAAACAAATTTAAATAGCAACTGTACAGTTGCTATTAAAGAGATCTTGAAATCTGTGAGGGGGGCTCAAAAGGGGAAAAATATCAAACAAGTATTAAACAGCACTAATAAGTTTGCCAAACTCTTGGTCATGAAGAACTTCGTGGTTCACATTGAATCAGAAACTGAACATTGATTACCTAGCTATCTCCAAGCAAACTGAGAACTGCCTAGTAAATTCTGAACTTCAGTCTGTTGTGCCCCTGGGCTGAGTCTTCTCTTGGTAGTTTTGCAGTATAGGCAGATGGCCAAAGCAGTGATTAACCTTTGTAGATGGTATTGTCTTCTGTTTGCAGTACTGTGACAGCTTTCCCACAGAGGTGGTTAGGAGGGGTATGCACTGACATTTCTTACAGGCAGGAGGAACAGCATCCAGGTCAGAGGAGCCTGTGTGAGGAAAGCAGGCTGTGCAGGAGAGCATGGGCACAGGCCTAGTTCTCAAGAAGTGACATGCAGAGTGTGTGCCAGGTTATCTCCCTGTGCAGAGCCAGTTTTCCCGCAGTGGGTATCAGTGCTTAGCCAAGAGAACAGCAGCTGGGCCCCTCTGCACAAACAGCCTGAAATTGCAGTCCTACTGGGTAGCAGGAACAGACTTTTTTTTTTTTTGTAATGGAAACTAGTATACTAAATGGTACCTATTCAATTGGACTATCACTGTATAGATAGTGAGATTTCAGGGCAAGGGAGAGTTTCAGCCAAGTCCACCGGTTTTTTTTATCTTAGATCAATATTGCCAGCAAAACAGTGCCAAAAGTCCTTTGCTAGGCAACTGATCATATAATCTGTCCAAAAGGAGTGCTTAGGCACATTCTAGTTTGGTTGTCATCATTTTTCACTAAATTTACGATGTGACATATACTCAAGTATTTGTTGAGTGGCTTTTTAGGCAGAATACAAACTTTCATTAAACAGTTTTTAAATGGCTTGGGAGAGAAGGACTTGATAAATGGAAATTTTAAAGTTACTCATGCTTCTTATTTTAAAAGTGCTTCGAATCCTTCTATAAGGTTCTGAAACGTCGTCCGATTAGATGGTTGGAATTCCCAGCATTTTCTCATGAGCTGATAAACCTATGAAAAATAAAAGCAAGAACAGTACAAATACGTCAGATTTGTGAGATAAAACAGGCTGTAGAGATGTTCAGTGGATGAAGTGCATGCCCCACAAGTGAGTGGGACCAAAGTTCAGAGCCACAACACACATTAAGAAGACCAGACCAGCAGAATCAGGAGAGCAACTAGCTTCAGGGAGACCCTGCTCTGGTTTTGAGCAACCACAGAGGACACAACATCAATCTCTGGCATCCACAAGCACCCACACAGACACCACCTCATAGAATTATTGAAAATAAAGGCAGTTTCCTAACATTTTCAAACTTAATAGGACTAAAGAATGGGGTATTTATTAAAATACAGAAAACAAATTATAACCCCTTTCATCACCATGGTGCCTCACTCTGACCATCTAAAGAGCCTAGGGCTGAAAGGCTCAATCCAGTTCAAAATATCAAACTTCAAAAATGCTGCTGAGTGGGATCTATTTACACAAGCAATGTTAAGACTCATCACAGGTGCTCTGGCATGCAAGGGATGGAGAGTACAGCTCCATGAGGGGAGCCTTGAGCATCACCATCTACCCCATGGGGCTTCTCTAATGTCTTATCAGGTGGGGATGATGGCAACCACGTCAGTCCTCTGACAGTAGCAAGTCCTCAGAACCAAGAGCCAATTCTCCAGAGCGGTTTAAGGGTCTTCCCCTCCCCGCTGGATAAGCCAAGCTGTAAAGACATTAAAAAGCCAGTTCCGTTTCCACGAAGGGGACACAGCTACCTCGTCAGGACAGTTGGGTGGACATGGCAGGCGCTTTCCTTCTTTCAGAGTATTCACAAGCCGTGTTACTGTCATCTGGCCATGAGTTGGGCCTATCATTTTCAGGAACAACTATGTAAAATAAAACCAAACAAGATTAAGGTGAAGCTCCCAGAACTAACTAGGAATTAAAGTAACAAAGCTCTTCTTAATAACTTCAAATGAAAATCTAAAATCCTTATTTGCTCTTGAGGATCTGTCTATAATGGACATCTGCGGGGACCAACCACAGCTCTCAGTTAAGTGAAAACAAAGCCCCTACCCAATGCTCAAAGCAGATCATCCTCTCAAAATGGCCCCTCACCCTAAAAATCTGGATCATTGTATAGAATTCTGCACTTGTAAAGGCAAACTTTGCCAGACTTTGTCAAGTGACAAGACAGGCCAAAAAGAACATGGCCATAACCCACGAGCTCCACTAAGAGCAAAAATTCAGCAGAAGGACAGGTGCTTTCCACTGCGCCCTGGCCCCTGGTGAAAGTGGCAGTTAACACTTACGGCCATGGGACTAAAATCCGAGTCACAGTAGGTGAGCAGCTCGTGCAGTGTCACTCCAAAAGACCACACATCAGAGGCGATATAAAATTTACATTGGATTAAACATTCCGGAGCGTACCTGAAAGGAAAGCAGGGAGTAAGCCTTTATTTGCTCCAAAACAGAGTACCTCTGGAAAGCCACTTGTGAGAGGTTTTCAGAATTGAAAGCACATATGTGTCTGAGTGAACGTGGAGCGCCAGTCCATCCTGCTGCCACATGAAGCAGCAGCCTGGAGGCTCACGGCATGTTACTTGCCTTCAAATGAAATATGTGTGTTCCTCATGTCCCAGGAGACAGTCCCGAAAAGATCATCCCCGGGTTATAGCCCACAAGCTCAGAGTTGGCATCTTGCCAGTGTCACTACTGGTGAAGGATGCCCAGGGGTTCATAGCAGGTGTCAAGGCATCCCAGAATTGGTCTCCTGAGCAGTCTTCAAATGAATCCACTTGCCACTGTCCCAGCCACCACTCCCCAGGCGTGAGGCTCCTACCTGGGCTGCTGAAGCAGCCGACCCAGATTCCCTTGTTCCTTTTTTGTTCCCTTCAGCTTAAACTCTATCCGTCAACTCTGGTGGCTTCCACTGGGATAAAGTCCTGGCTCCCAAACTCAGGTTCCTCAGCTCTGACACAGCCACCCACTACAAATCTGTCCAATGACCCTCTCATTCCTGTCCCTCACGTAGCACAGGCCTCCTTCAACCCAACCTGCTGTGAGTCTTCCAGCTTTTACCTAAACAGGCAGGGTCTTTGAAAAGCCTCGCCTGAAGGCTGTGCCACTGCTCCACAGAGTTGGCTGCCTCACCCATAACTCGGGATTCACTGACTGGGTCACCATTTCTCCAGCTTTGGCAAAAACAAGGGTCTTAAAACACTTTGCTTTTAAACAAGAAATAAGTATGTGTATACGTGGAGGTCTGTGTGTCTGCACAGGGGCACCAGAGTGAGCCATAGAGCACAGACAGATAGTGTTCCGGTAGTGTTCCGGGCTAAGTGATTGTGGTCAGTGTGTGGTTCCTAAAGCCTAGCCAAATTTCCCTCCTCCAGCATCTCCTTGACTCTGGCCAGTGTGTACCTTATGCCCCTGGGACCCCACCAGGCCTTTCTACATGAATGTATTTTATGAAAGAGTCAGCCTCCCCAACCTGCACACAGCTGTGAACTGTGGTGGGTGCTACTGCTCACGGGAATCTCCCGAGGGTGAGCTGGTCATGACCAGACCTCTCCCACTCTTGCAAAGCTGCTGCTAGCAAACCTCAGCTTTTGCTAGAGTGGGGGATGGGTACCCAAGCATGGCTAGAAGGAGCCCTTCAACAGTGTTAGCCTAGGAGGCACGGATGAGATGATTCACATACCAAAACACCGGGCTGTCACGGTCATCCTTGACTGTGTAGTACTCCTTATCAGTTTCGATTGCTTTGGTTAAACCAAAGTCTCCAATTTTCACTTGGTGTTCACTCTCAACAAGGACATTTCTTGCTGCTAAGTCCCGGTGAACATACTGTCGAGAACCCAGGTAGTCCATCCCCTAAGAGAGAAGTGTGGTTTAGGCCCATTTCAAAAGTCACTTCAGATTGTGTTTTCTTTTCTTTCTTTTTTTTACGAAACAGGGTTTCTCTGTATTGTTTTCGAGGCTGTCGGTCCAGCCCAGCCTCGAACTCACAGAGATCCGCCTGCCTCTGCCTCCCGAGTGCTAGGATTAAAGGAGTGCGCCACCAATGCCCAGCTCAGATTGTGTTTTCTATCTTCCATTTCACAATTAGAAAAAACAAGTTGTTTTGTTCCCATATCACTAGCAGTTTTTGTTGTTTTAAGACTGGACTTTTATCCAAACTGAAGCTGTTGGACCTAAGAAACTCACTCACGTGCACAGAAGAGGCTCGTAATTCATGTAAATGGTATAGAATAAAACACTCAGTCCACTCATTAGTCTCCCACTGAGGTCTAATTACTAACCTCTTACCCCATACATTCTGTACATGCCTGATGTTTTCCACACGTGCAGTCTTTCTGTTTGTGTGTTTTTACCTTACAAATCTGGATGGCATAGTTTAGCTGCTGTTTGAGGTTAATTTTGTTCTTATTCTTTGGCAGATATTCCTTTAGGCTTCCCGAAGGCAGAAACTCCATGATGAGCTTGATACCATTCCCCCCTGTTTAGGAGAAACTGGCATCAGGATGAGGCTGCAGGGAGAGCCTGGAGGGGTTTCAGCTTAGCCTCTGAGGCATGGGGAAGAGCCCACCCACTGGCACACAGACACTTAAGCTGTGAACAGGTCACACTGCCAGGTCCTGTCTCGAGTGCAAAACTCAGCAGGATAATACAGCCCTAGTGCTCTGTGCACCACCAGGCACTCAATCAGTTTTAAAATTAGCCCATACCCATTCACTACCAGTTTTAAAGCAAATGCATGATTATTGGGCTGCCTTGCAAACAAGGCACAAGTTATTAGTAAATACTACTATAAGTATTACTTGCTACCTTGGCAAAATGCCCTGGGTAGTACTGGATCAGAACAGAGAAAGGGGGTAGGAGAGTAGTTGTCAGTTCCTTATAGTATCAGTGTGACCATCTGGATTGATACAGCCTTGTTCCCAGTATTATGCATGGATCCCTGGAAAGACAGCTGGCTGTGACAGAGTCTAGGTACCTCTGGGAGGCCTGCAGCTGTTAAGGGCCACATCAGTCTGAGACCTGGAAGCCTGACAAGCCCACAGGAGCTAGCAAAGATGGGACTGAGGACTGCCTGATAGCAGTGGCCCTTAGGACCCAGAGACCCACCGAGCACAGTGTGACAACATACCATCTTCCATGCAGATTCCTTTGTACTTGACAATGTTCTCATGGTAGAGGTTCCGTAAGATCTCTATCTCCTTCTTCAGATCAGCTATGTGGTTACCTCCACTCTCTGGCTTCAGGGACTTGACGGCCACCTGTTCCCCTGTGTTGTCTCCCTCAGGATCATATCTGCAGAGTTCGACCTTCCCAAAGTGGCCCTGAAAGGAAGGTGTCCCTGCTATCAGAGAGGCCCAGACAAGCTAGATTCACTGACTCCCACTTGCCTCAGCACAGCCTCACTTGACCTAACTTCTGCTACTGATAAGACTCAGAAAACTGTAGGTGACTAAGGGACCACTTTATCAACCGTGGTTTCTAAAACAACATACTTCACAAGCAATGGGGCCATCTCTGGATCTGGAGGATAACCAGGGCATTCTTTCACAGTCACAGGCCCATGCTACAGGACAGGGCCGCTAGTGGGGCTGAGAAGAGCATATTTGCACAGGGGCCTTCAAATCTCAGAGAAGCCTTTTAAACAGTACGACAACTACAGACTGCTTGTGAAAATGCCCAGGACAGATGTTGCTAACCCAGCCAACAGTTATGATTTTAAGTGAACTATGGAAGGTACATCTATATGAAAACCCAAATTCTGGAAACTGCCATGGTCACTTTAGCTATTATCCACAGGAAAAGCCGTGACTCTTATTTTGGCACTCTCCTCATTTAAGGAGTCACACAGTATAAAATGGAAGAGGCAGAGATTTTCCTATTTCCACCACATCTGTACTTGGCCCTCTTCAATACCATTGAGAGAAGTCAAGGCTATTGAAGCCGTTATAGGTCCTGGGTGCGAACCATGGTGTCATGTGCAGGTTAAGTGCACATAACCTGGCAGGGTGTCAGGGAGAGCAGGGCAAATGTCCCCCACGCAGGACATGAAGGTGCTTTTACACACTCTGATGCAGGACAGAGGGAGTACAGCTTTCCATGCAGACAGGCAATGTGCAGGAGCCCAAGTATTAACTTGCCTCTCCCAAGTCACGGATCCTCTTCAGGAAACGCTTTTCAAAATGAGTGGGATCCACCTCTGTTGTTGGCTTCTTTTCTGAAACAATGTCTGGATCTAACCACAGAGACAAGGAACCAGATGAGCCACCAAGCAATAATCAGGACTGCACTCTCCCTGCCCCACCATGCTCTGAGGCTGCGGCCACCCTGGCTCAGACTTACTCTGCTCTTCCAGCTTGTTAATGTCCCTCATGATGGCCCGGAAGAAGGGTCTCTGATTGGGATCATAGTTCATGCAGCGAGTCATAAGGTCAGCCAGCTCCTTACAAGATGGAGTCACTGGCCTGCAGCGGCTTTCATAAAATCTCTCTTTCTGTAAGAAAGCGTGACACCTGAGAGACCCAGTGCCCCCTCAGGCCCTCCACTCCCACCACCAGGATCGATGGCCAATCCCTGCCTTAATCCCCCAAAGGCACATTTCATCAACTTGGGGTTTGGGAGGCCTTATTCCAGTACGAGGAAATTTCAGTCTCCACATGAAATAACCCAAACTGAAGGAGAATAGGTAGGTAGCACATCCCACTTCTAAGATGCTGTGTTCTAGGGAAGCCCATTAGCTTTGCTGGAGGAGTGTGGCAACCTGAGCAACATCTTTCCAATTCTACAAACTCTGACTCATTAATTCCAATTACTACATGATTACGAGTCAAGGCTTATCATACAAATGTATTCTCTGCAGAATCACACAGGAGGAACAGTGTAAATACCAAATGTAAGTAAGTCAGAGCTAAATAAAACAAACAACTCAGTAAATTTATAAAAATTCTAAGAATCCCACAGGGAAGTGCTCACAACATTAAATTTAAAGAACTACATGTTCTCCGTGCTATTGTATTAGCAGTCAGGATTGACACAGTGATGACCTTTAAAAAATACTTTTCCCTAATTGTTCTTGATTAAGATCAGACATAACGATTACCACTTTTTAAAACTAAGTGAATCCAGTGTCTTCCAGTGTCCATGTCATGGCTGAACTGTAAAGACATAAGCATGACCTCACTGAGCTTACCTCCCCACCACCTCCAACAGTCCTTTGGAAGGCAAGGCCCAAATGTCAGTCCTGTCGAGGATAATACACACCAGGAGCTCAAAGAGGCATTTAAAACCTCAGGCTAACACTGCAACAGTTGGATGCCTGTCTATCTTCCTAGGAACGCTACAAAGCAGTCACTGTTTATTCTCATTTTATAAACAATGGAGCTGAGGCTCAAGGAGGGTACATCTGTAGGATGACAATGCTCGCAGGCCCATGAGCACCTGACATCTCACCGCCTCATCCTGGAAACAACTGCTCACCTCCACCAGGGTCTTGTCTTTGAGGGGGATCTCCCCATTGTAGCAGATTTCCCAGAGTGTGGTTCCAAAGCTCCACTTGTCAGCAGCCACGCTCAGGTTCTTGGAGTCTTCAACACACTCAGGAGCAATCCAGGGGATTCGCTCTATGCACTCTGGGGAAAAGCAGCAGACCTGCCTATAGATTGGCTCCTGGGACCATCTAACATGCCAAGCACTGCCACTGCAGCCAGAATGGTGGGCCAGCAGCCAGAAGAACTCCTAGCCACACAAGCCCTGTGGTGAGACCATCAGACAGCAGTTTCCCGGTCCCTGACTAGGTGCTTCTTATCAGGGCCTGCTTAGCACACAGGTCCTATTCCATAAATCCCCAGAAGGGCCATCTGCTAAAACCTGGTACAAAAGCATCATGGCACCACAGGACAGAGCCATCATGGAAGGGCAGGAGTCATGTGAACAAGGCCTAGGGCAGAAAGAACAAGGAGGGAGAAAGAAGTCCTGCACATGTGGAGACAGGCAGCTGCCCGAATACATCTACTCTATGGCTCCACACAGCTAGTGTCAATTGTGTGTGGGTTTCCTGCTTTTCAAAAGGATAGAAAAAAGAACAGGTTAAACAAACAAACAAACAAAAAAACCACATCTCTTTCTCCCAGCGACCTCTCAAGATTTCTTTTTCTGGCTTCTAACCAAGGCCAGAGCCAGTAATCTCAAAGATACCTCTGATATGTCCCCTGGAAATGTCCTTGATCAATGCAGTGACCTCCACAGAGCAGCCTCCTAGCTGTCAAGGACAGCAGAGCAGCGGTGTGGCCCCCGAGTCTAGTATAGGACTCAAGGCGTTTCCCAACCCTCTCAATCTGTCTTCTGCATGACACATGCATCAGTGCTCTGCCATCACCACCTCAGAGATCTACCACACAGAAATGAAGCGCAAACAGTCTTGCCCCCAATCCACTGGGTATTATGGGCATTACTGGATTCCAGGCCTTTGACAGGGATGTCTGTCCAGGGACTACTGGATGAGTGCCATACAATAGCCATAAATCAGACCCCCCCAAAAACAATTCCTGCTCCCCCTCCAAGGAATGGATGTGTAGGGCTATTTCAGGGCTGATTTTTCTTCATAATTACCACTCTCTTACTACATTGCTTAGTTAAAAATCATTGTGCTGAACTGACTAAAACTCAGTGCTGAAGACAGTAGAGGCTTTAACAGACCACTAGCACCAGGTCCTAAGGCATGCTGGTCCTCCTGTGTGGCTACCAGGGTACTAAGCACAGCCTGTGCAGCACTAGCTTCCTTTCTGAGCTGCTGGGGCTGCTGTTCCTTTTGGAGCTGAGAACTCTGCATAACTTAATCTACTGCAAGGGTAGAGACCTCAGCAATCTCCTGGTTAAAGGTAATGTGCTGCCTTCCAAACTGCCCAATGGCTACAGTGGGCTTCCAGAACATGGCAGTGGAGGAACCAGATTATCTGACTCCTTCCTGACATCTATCTGACCATTTTCCAGAGCTCATGGATTCTGCTACCCCAGTATCACTGAACACAGTACCTTTACCATTAGGACAACAAATCACTGAGACTGGGCTGTCGGAGAACTACCCTCCTTCCATATACCTATCCAGGCCACAACAGAAGCACTCTGTACCTTTCCAAAGGAAAGCACAGCACAGCACCTTCTTGCTGCTGGTGTCAGTGTCTGGTCCACAAAGAGGCAACAGAGATGGTTGAGGATGGAGAGGGGACAGGATACGCACCTTGCCTGGACAGCACAGAGACCGGGATGCCAGGATCACTAAGCTTGATGAATGGGCCAATCTCACTGTCAATGCCTTCACGGGCTAAGAGAAGGTTTTTAGTGCACACATTTCCATGGACCAGGTCTTTATCTTCCTGCAGAACAAAAAAAGATCAGTGTGGCCTTGTCTTCTCTGCGCACACCCTCTGTTTCCAACCTGGGCCCCACAGACATGCTCTCCCCACTCCAGCCACAGTGGACCTCAACAGCCCACCCATGATACTCTGTTTGATGTGTATATATCCTATAATGTCTCTTGGCTGCATGTCCTTGATCAGCGAAACAGAGATAATAGCCTGTCTTACAGGCTTTGTGCACATTAGAATATACAAAGCCTGCAAAAGCTAGCCCCTGGTAATATGCCCCACAATGTTAGCTCTGATGGACACGGGGATTTTCCCTTATTCATTCAGTGTGCTGAATGATAGCTGATCTTGATTGTCACAGCAAAGAGAGGGAACCTCAATTGATGGTTGCCTCCATTAGGTTGGCCTGTGGGCATGTCTGTGGGGCACTTTCTTAATTGCTGATTGATGGTACCACTGTGTACTGTACCATCTCTAGCCAGGTATGAGAAAGGTAGCTGAACAGTCCAGAGGAAGCAAGCCAGTAAGCAGCTTTCTTCTGTGGTCTCTGTTTCAATTCCTGCCTTGGCTTCCCTCACTGATGAACCTGAAACCCAAATAAGCCCTTTTCTCCTCAAGTTGGTTTTTGTGTTTTAGCACAGCAACAGAAAAGCAAATCAGTCTTGTTCCCCCTTTTGCTATGCAATGCAGTCAGTCCCCCAACATGATAGCATTTTCCTCTAGACAGGAGTGTTAGGTAAGCCTACAGAACAGTGCACAGTTACTATTTGCACAGAGCACACCAGTGCACCAACACGGAACTTTCTCTTCTGCACCTAGAATCTGGTATGTAGCCCCTCTACTTACCAGCACTTCTGGCTTGCACCTCCATCATCCCCCCTCACCCCAACCCCAAGAGAACACTATAGGTCCTGATGGGATCACCACCAACATGAAAGCATTCTTACCAAGTAACTCAGGGCACTGGCCAGTTGTTTGGCAACTTTAAACTTCCAGGGGGTTGTAAGTACATCACTTTTCCGGTGCATGAAGAGATCCAATGGTCCCCCCTCCACAAACTCTTCCACCATGATATCTGCAGATACAGAACAGCAACATCTGGAACCTTCTGTCTGTCTAGTGGAATTCTGTCTCACCCTCAGAAGAGCACTCTCTTATAGACACTGTTCAGCTGCCAAGTTGGCTTAACCCCAACTTCTTCCACTTCTAATCTAGATGATCTCCAGCTGGAGATGGCCTCTCCTGAGCCTCAGCCTTCATCTGTATGTACACAACTATAATACTGACTTCTCCCAGGGACTGTGGGAGGAAGGCACAGAAGGACTTGGCTGAGCAAGGATTCAAAACAGTGGCCATCACAACTTCTACTTTATAGCAATATACACTACAGCAGAGTGAGTTCAGGCCACCCATAGGACACAATTTCCCTGTAGCAAGTCTCCCATGTGAACACAGGAGTAGCCAGCACTACAGAGTTCATAAATCAAAAAGCTTGGGTTCAAAAACCAAAACCAAAAACTCCTCTTCCTGGACATTCCTATGAGGAATTCAGAGTAGATGCTACCTCTCTGGACAGCTAATGAGAGGTCAGAGCCAGCTCCACTTTACTGGCAGGGTCTCCTCAGCAGGCCGGCCCTAGCTCAGGAGTCATTTTATCACCCCCCTCAAGCCCTGCCTGCCATTCCTCACAGGACTCCTCTCAGAGTAACTAGAAGGAAATGTTAAAGAAATAAGTGAAAAACAAACCATGGCCACCACTGACTTCTGCAAATGACCTGAAAAATACCTTGACTTTCCCATTGTAAACAAAAGTCAAGAAGCCCAAGATCTGCATAGTACCGACCCACCCCAGCCGGGCAGCTGTCCTCTGCAAGAGAGAACAAACTTACTTTCCACATCTCTGACACAGACACCATAGAGATACACAATGTGTTTGTGGGAAACCTGTCTCATCATGCTGGCTGCCTCAAAGAAAGCCTGTGGGAGGAAAAAAGAATAAAGGCATGTCTAGGCTCAGCCTGAACTGGTAATGGACCATGAAGAATCCCAGAAAAAGTCAACCATTGCCACTCCCGGTCCTGAAAACTGCCCTCCTGGTTTTCCAGTAGCACAAATATGCCTTGACCTCTGGGCACTCTAGCTAAGGTATGGGGTTTATTTAGAAAATCGAACAATGCAGAGTAAGGCTGGTGGGATGAGCTACCTACCAATTTTTCCATCAGTCCCTCAGGCCAGGCTTAGTATCAACCTCTAAATGCCATGAAATTCAAGGTTTATCACTGTTAGAATAACCAGGAAGCCAATCACATGTTCCTTTCTAACAGACTGAGAGGTCCTGGTCAAGTCATTTGACTCCTTTGGTCCAAATGTGTGGGAGCCTGGGAAATCCCTTCAGAGCTTTGAGAGACCACTCTGCTTGTTCCAGAGATCCACAGAATCACACAGGTGCCCTTGGTGGCAGGGAAGGGGGACAGGACTGGACAGGACTCCTGTCCTCCTTTCCATCTTCCACACCATCAACCTTCCTTGACTGCCTAAGACAGTACTGAAGGGAGGAATTCTGACTGAAAGACAAGGCTGGGGACCTCATGGGCTTTTACAAAGCAATGTTTCCCCGGTCAACTCACTCTCCTGGCCCAGAAAAGCGTATACTTGCCAGAGAAATGTCCCTGTGGCTGGGGTCTAGGACTTTGAGGATCACTTTTATCTTCTTCTCTTCAGCAATCCCTTCATCATCCTTGTAGTCCAGCAGGGTGCCGGAGTAGATATGTGTTCTTGTGCCTCTGCCGAGGTGCTCACCCTAGAGGAGGAAGCAGAAAGCTGGCTGTCCTCTCTCTGCAGCTTCACGATGGCTCAAGTCAGGGCTGAGTCCACAAAAAACACACAACTCCTAGGCAAGCACAGCACTGATTTTCTGGACCTCAGCAACAACCCCATTCCTGAAAAGCAGCTTCTTTTCCACCTCAAGGGTTAGCCTGTAGTTGCAGTCTATCACAAACCCAGTAAATGGGGGTGATAATAGCACCTGCAGCACACCATAGTAAGAACTGATCGAGCTAGGAGCCTAGGAATAAAGGCTTCTCATACAAACTGACACCCAGTGTGCAGAAACTCACCTGATGAGTCCATGTGCTCTGTCTCAGAGCCTTTCAGTCCATGCTCTTTGCACACTGGACCTCCACCCTTTACAACACCCACAAGAACATGCTTGAGAAGCACAAATCGTGTCAGTACCCAGCCAAGCAGGGGACATAACTGGGTTTTCCCATGGGAAGGGAGGAAGAAGACCATACACCAGATGAGATCACCATGTACAGAATGATCCGTCTGTCTCTAAGGTCCCTTCCAGACTGAGTTTCAATACTTCCAATTTTTAAATTTTCATATTTAAAAACCAAAACATGGCTCATGAAACACACTGAGATGCTAACATTAGCACCACAAAACTTTTAAGGTGGAGTATATTTTTCCATGATTATAAGCATTCTTACAAAAACTCTTGCAAATACAGAAAATGGATTTTGGCCAACACCTAGGAAGTCAGTCCTATTCCCTACAGAAAGACACAGCACTGTTAATCGGGTATATTAATTTACACAAATACCACCATTTGTCATCTGTCACTGCAGAATGGTCATTCATCCTCCCTGTCTGCTGCATTTTGGCAAGGTCCTGCAACCATTCATTAGGGCTGCATCTGTCATGAGGTGATCCATCAACATTATGGGAAGCTGTGTTCCCGGAACATTCCATAAAAGGCATATGCTTTTAAGACAATTAATAAAGGATGACTTGATTCCAGGGGCTAGGTAACAGAACCTACAAAGGCCAGTGTCTGCTCCAGCTTCCTTTCACATAGCTCTGTGTCTGAGCGGAGACTGGAGACTTACCTTCTGAGACTCTGGATGTCCTTCCCACCATCTCTGGGAAACCATCTCTGCCCTTCCAAGACCAGATGTTGCATATCCACACATGCCAATTACATTGGCCAATGCAAGTACTTACCTCTCTGGGCCTGGCTAAGCTTGGAGATTCGGGGCAGCAAAGGCTGTCCCAGCAAAGGCTGGGACAATGGTCTGATCCCCCAGGAGGGTTCCTTTCTGAGGATAGTTCTTGTCTTGCCCTGCCCTGTAGTCTCTGTTCTCTTCTATTCCTTTTGGAAGTCCTGGAAAAAGCAGGACTGAGCCCCAGAGATACTATTCCACAGCCCTCTGTGAGGTGGGGACCATCAGCCTAGACTCCTCCCACAGAGACCAACTTCAATTCCCGTGTCAGTGCTCCCACATGTCTACCGCATATTCTACTGATACACATCCACCAAGGGGTGGCCATCGGCAAGACTGGGTAAAATGGAAGGTGTGGCTGAGTGACCTTACCTGAGAAAGGAACCTCTTAGTTCTTTTTCCAATAGACTTTCCCCAAAGCAGACTTTATTTCCCCCCTCAAATCCCCAGGGGCTCCCCTATGGCAAGTTGGAATCAAAGCTGGACAAAGGCCTATAGTGGGGACTTACTTGTATAATATCTTTCTTAAGGATCCGATCAAAACTCAGCTGGCTCATGGGGTAGACAGGCTGCCACTCCTGGGCTTTCTTGGTGGCTACCAGCAGATTGGAGATTTCTGTGGAAGAGATCAGAGAATTTTGAATGCCATTCTAGATCCTGACCATCCAATGTATGCTAAGCCATGGAGCTTACAGAACACATGTGTTTGCTAGTTCCGTCACTCAACAAATCTATATTAGTAGATATTTAATTCATACACTCTAGGAGCTCACAGGCTAATGAAAGAGTCAACATGAATTAGTTCTATTGAGGTTCACACAGCAGGATCTGTTCTGGTAATGGAGGTGAGGGAAGTTTCCCTTAGGAAATGAACATTTATCTAAGTACGGCTAGTTGTGGTGACACAGGCCTATAATCTAGCATGTGAGTAACAAAATTATCAGGAATTCAAGGTTAGATCCAACTAGAGAGTTGGAGAACAGCCTGGGCAGTCCTAAAAAGAATTAAAAAACAAAACAAGCCGGGTGGTGGTGGTGCACACCTTTAATCCCAGCATTCGGGAGGCAGAGGCAAGCGGATCTCTGTGAGTTCGAGACCAGCCTGGTCTACAAGAACTAGTTCTAGGACAGCTTCCAAAGCCACAGAGAAACAATGTCTCAAAAAATCCAAAAACAAAAAACGACAAACACAAACTAAATGTCAAGAAGCTGGGGACCACATCTGCCTCATTTCCTGCTCTATTTCTATAGCCTAGAACATAATCAGTGCTCAACAAGATACTTGGGTTTGTGTTTACTTTGTGGTGCTGGGAATCAAAATCAGGGCCTTGTGCATGCTAGGCAAGCGCTCTGTTCCCCAGCTCCTACAAGAATTTGTTTAAATGTAGGAAGCACTGGGGGAGAACTGAATGAGTTCAGTTCACCAGTTGTGAAGGCCAATGCTTGGAGCCTAGGGAACCCTTTGAGAAAGGGAAGCACAAACTTTATGCAGATAGAGGGGGAAGGCAACCTAGGATGAGTATCCTAGAAATCTTGCTGGATGAAGCTACAACCTCTAAGCATGTGGGTTTGGAGTGAGCAATTCCCCAAGCTCCAAAAAGTTAAACAGCAAGTACAACAAATGACTAGGTCTGCCAGATCAGGGCTACATGGGACAGGGAATGTATCCTCTGTAAGCTGCAAGGCAATAATGATGCTACATAACCTTCCAAATTCAGACATAGTACAGAACCCTCTGGAAACCAGGCAGAGCTGACATAGTCCTTGAACACATCACATATTTCCTTCAGCTGGACCAGGACCATTGGGAAAGTGACAACTCACAGATGGTCTCCCTGTTCCACTTTCTTATTCTCCTATGGGAGTCCTGATTCTTGGATTCTAATTAAGAAAGTTCCCAAAAGATCTGTAAAACCTGCAAGGCACAGTCCAAAGTGACCACATGTATACTGAGTGGCAATAAACTACTGAGCACAAGTTACCACATTGGTTACATCACCACAATAAGGTTCCACAATCTTCTCCCTTAAAGTAGGGATCCTGATTTTTCTATTTACAGTCTCACTTTTTCTGTTTTCTCTATGCGGTGTACAAGAGGCAGGAATTGCCAGCATCCTTGTCTGACCTCCAAATCAGAAGAAAGGCTCAAAGAGAATCAATAACATAACCTTTACAGGGCTCCCTAAGCCAGAGAGGAAGGATTCACAACGCGCTCAGGGACCTGAGGTGCAGTCTAAGTGCCAGAAGCTGGTGCTCCTATTCCTTGGTAAAATACAGTTAAACAAGTCACATACAGCTGTCTGTGGAAGGAAAGGTGTCAAATGCAATGAGGCTATTTGACTGGTGACACGAGGGAATTACAGAGAAGCATGGGTCTAGACTGGCTCATGGCTTGCTTATCTGGGTGTGCACCTTGGGGAGGGGCATATTTAACCACCATGAACATGTTTTGTATAAGAAAACTGCCCTCCTCAGGTTGGTAAGCTGGACAGATGAGACCATGTCCAGAAGAGCTTCCTTGAGTATGTAGCAAAGGCTCCACCCCTGTAGCAACTGTCATGATTACCCACCATCCTTGTCTCTCACCAGAATGTTCCAGCCTTGTGCATCAGAATGCGCTGTCCTCCACAAGGAACAACTGAGTGGAAATGAGCATCATGCATGCCTATACTGAGGAGGATGCAGAAGGTTCCATGGAGAGGGGAGCTGGGCACTGGACCTAACCAAGCCTAACCACATGTCTATGATATGCTTCTGGCGGGCCTGCTGTCTTTCCCCTAGCTTTATCACACGAAGAGTTGCATGTTCCAGTATGAAACCCACATCAAGGTATCTGGCTCTGGAAACCCTACAGTTAGGAGAGCAAAGAAACTAAGCCACCTGAAATGAGACTGTTGTGTCACACTTTCCTGATTTCAACACTTCTTCAATTTGCAGGTGGCAGAAGCAAGAAAACAGAGGCTCTGGAAACCAACATGAGGAAGTTCCACAATGGGTTCTCTCAGCCTTTCTCTCATTCCATAGAGTTGGTTCGCTATGGTACCCACCCCTCTACAAAGTGTACATAGATGGAACAGAGAGGAAAAAAAAATCAGTGAGACAGTGTATGTTCAAATCTCCTCTCTTCCTCCAATTAAGGTGTGGCCAAGTGCAATAGGGACAACAGAATCCTGAATTATTCTGACAATTAAATGGCATACATCAATGTAAGGCCATAGACTGAACACTTACTGAGTGTTAGTAGCCATTATTATTATACACTGTACTATAACTACTACTGATGCCATTAGCTGCGGAGCCTTGGGCAAGTCACTGAATATCCCTGAAACCAGCTTCCTATGTGGGAAAAAAATAACAGAATAGTCACTAAACTACCTGGAACATAGTAGATACTGCTAGCATGGAAGCTATTCCAAAATTATCACCTGCCGAACAGTACTACACATGATTCGGTGTGCATCCTGGACTTCCCATGAGTTTCAGAGAAGTGAGTGAAACCCAGACCTTGTCTCGCTCATAAGCAAGTGAAAAAAGGAACAGGAGATACCCTCAGTGCTCAGTTTCAGAAGAGCCTCAGGAGGTCACACAAGAGCTGTTCATCTCTGTTCCCACACTCTTCCCTCCGCAGCTTCCAGATTTATACTGTTCGGGGTGATATCTACATCAGAACTCTACAAAGGAACCCTACAAGGAAAGCACATCCTAGTCTCCAGCCTTCTCCATTCTTGTGGATGCTGTGTTCTCCCATGGACCATGATCCCTAGGGAAGTAAGATCTGTTTTAACATCCAGAAGGAAGGTCATATGAATAAATGGGACTATTGGGCTTCAATGCCCTAAGGAGCTCTGAGGTCTCAGGGGTAAGAAAGAGGCAGATGTGTTTTTGCCCTTTGTGGCACATCATCTAGCATAAAAACAAAGGCTGGCAGGTAACCTATCTGATAAACAAGAACACAAGTCCTTCCTCTTTCACTAAATTCAGGAACTCGCCTTTTGCTGAGACTAAAATCTAATTCACACATTGCGAACTTAAAGTCTGGGCTGGAAGTGCAGCTCAGCTAAATGACAGGCTCTTGACTTGTGTACATGAGGCCCTGGGTTCAGTCTCTAGCAATTCCAGAAAAAGAGCCCAGGCACTTTCTATCCTTCCTGATGACTCAACGGTAATTCCCTTTAAGAACAAGGTATTCCCTAAGAGCCTTCTCCAAGGCTAGTGTCAAGAGCTCATGAGCCACATCCTCTTCAAGGCCTGAGACTTCCAAGGATGGATCTAGCAAAGGCAAAGCAGCATTTTGGAGTGGAGAAACAAAACCCCAACATATGAGGATCTATCATTTGGGTTAGTCCCGACTACCAACCAATTTACCATGACTCATCTATCTCATTTTGCAAGAGAGCCCTTGCCCCGATAACCCCCAAAGCACACTTTCACATTCTGAAATTTCACATATGTCACCTTACATTGTGAGGCAGGGAGTCATACTACTCTCAGAATCTAACCAAAAACAGGTGAGTTCCTGGCCCCTTGCTTTGCCTGGGTTTTAATTCCTGATCCTTCTATCTGGCCCTGTGCTTGCAGGAAAAGCTCCCAGCTCCTTGGTGTGGCAGCCAAGGCCTCCTATAACCCAAGTCCGCTCTCCTTAGTCCCATTTCTCCCTCTTTCCTTCTCTGCTTCCCAGCGGCCCTCTAGAAGCTTTCTGCAGCACCTACCCTGGCCTGCCACACTGTTCCATGCATACCCGCAACCACACTGGACAGGCCTTTTCCTGACTCCTCCTTCTCACCACCAGACACTACTTAGCTTCACTGCCATGCCTCATGACTCAGAGATTTTAACTATTTCTTTTCACTCAAGGGTATGATATCTGTCATCCATTGACTATTGAGGTAGTCTCAGTGACCTGTAACATTTTCTGCACTAGGCTATATAACCTCAGAGATCAGGGTCTGCATCTTCCCACTTAACACGGTTCTATGACCCACAGACATGCCAGGAACATTTGTCTGATCATGAACCGAAGACTGGTGAGCTTTCAAGCCACCTCACTCAAAGAACAAAGAAATCCCTGCCAATTAATCCCAAGCACTCTCTTTTCTGCAATCTCACTGGGGTGGTGAGGAGAGATGTGTGTCTGTTCTACAGATAACACTGGCACTAGAACAGTGGTTCTCAACCTTCCTAATACTGTGAGCCTTTAACACAGTTCCTCATGTTGTGGTGACCCCCAATCATAAAAATATTTTATTGCTACTTTGTAACTGTAATTTTGCTACTTTTATGAATCATAATATAAATCTCTGACATACAGGATATCTGATACTCGACCTCTATGAAAGGGTCATTCAACCCCCCAAGGGGTGGCAACCTATAGGATGAGAACCGCTTCACTAGAGATGAAACTTTACATGGGGACAGACTTGCAACAGAGCTCAAAGAAGAACATGTAGGATCACAGTTTCTTTAACCTAGACAGCATCCTTTGGTCCACACGGGTAAAGCATCACAAGTGGCAAAGAGCATCTCAGAGGGACACAGACTCGCTGTAGCAGAGACAAACCTCGGGGCTTCGGTTGACAGCAGCGCTTCAGTACAAAGCTTATGTTGTCTGTGCGCAGTATCTGCTTCTTAAGGTGGTTCATGAGGTCTCTCAGGCTGGGGAAGTGGTCTACAGAGCCATGCAAGCTGTAGCGGCCCTTCTGCACCTCAATCTGAAAGTTCTTGAACTGCTTCTGGCCACCCAACACCTGCCATTCAGAAAAACAACTCTGTTTAGAATGGGGTTGAGCAATGTTAATGTTAGGAGGCACTGAGAAAGTCTAAAAATATCCCCAAATAAACTCCACCAACAATTAAGCAACCAGTAAGTCAATAATGAACAGTGCCAGAAAAAGGCACCGATAAAGGGAGTCACTACATCAACATACGAAGATCTTACAGCTGCAGAAGTGTCATTACATCTTAACAGAAAGGATCTGTAAGGTGAAGGCCATAAAATGTCATAGGACTGTTGTGTATTTAAAAAAAACAACTTGACACTTTTTAGAATATGAATTGTTGAAAGCTGATCCCTAAATGGGTATGTGTGTTTTACAGTGTTGGTCTACATCGTGTACCAGGAATTAGTGAGGCTCACCTAGACTAGAAAAATGAGTGGCTAGAGTGGAAGGAGGAAGTCACATAAGGAACTCAGTGCTGCCAAGTGTCCTGGATAAAGTTCCAGGGGTTTTCCTGAACAGCAGGACCTTGGGACTGACTGGGGCTCAGGATACCTGCTTTCATTTACTCACTGATCGCCGAAGAAAGTTTGATAGAATGGATGTCTATGTAAGATAGCTCCGCCTCTTAAGGTAGAATGAGCTTGTCAGTGTCTGAGTAACACTGTAAAACTCACTGTCCTCACCAGGCATGATATGGTGGTACACATATCTTTAATTCCAGCACTTAGGAGTTAGAGGCCACCATTCTCCCAAGTTTAAGGCCAATCTGGTCCACAGGGCAAGTTCCAGGACAGTGAGGGCTACATAGAAACCCTGTTTCAAAAAAACAACAAAACCCCAAACCCAAAACAAACAAAATCTCACCCTCACTATCCTCTAGCATATTTCACTAACATTCAAAAAAGCTGCATGACTAGCAAAGGCACTCGAGGGATCATGAGTAAGCAATCTTTTTTTGTTTGTTTGTTTGTTTTTCCGAGACAGGGTTTCTCTGTATTGTTTTGGTGGCTGTCCTGGAACTCACTCAGTAGACCAGGCTGGTCTCGAACTCACAGAGATCTGCCTGCCTCTGCCTCCCAAGTGCTGGTATTAAAAGCATGTGCCACCAATGCCCGGCTGAGTAAGCAATCTTAAAACCATACGTGGTCTTCCTTTCTCTCACTTCATTCTTGGTTTGAAGCCATATCTGGATGCTTATGTAGTACACATCTTGGAATAGCAATTTATGTTAAAATGACCAAAGCTATTGCTGGGGGAAACAGGCCATGTGGATGAGGTGGCTTTTTGACACTCGTCTACACCATTGGGTGTAAAGTAAGCCACTCTAGATAGTTATAATCAAGTTCACATGAGCCTGATGCGAGGCAATTTTCTGGTCATGTTCCACCTTCCAAGACTATAGCCCTTCTTCCAAGAGAAGGTAGAAGGGAAGGTAAAGAGTTAGAAAGCAGGAGGGAGGGAGAAGAAAAGGAGAGAGAGAAGAGGGAGAGAGGGAGGGAGGACTGGCCACAAGGAAGGATACATGTCTTGGCTATGAGTGTCCTATAAGGCAGGATATTCTTGCCAGACTACCAGGGACGTGCTCACAGACCCAGGTGTTCTCCACCATAGCTCCTGGGCTGGGTGGCAAGGAACAGATATCTTGTGGCTCCATCTCTTGGCCCACATCCGCACCCTGACTGACCTCAGACTTTTCAAAGCAGGTGACGGTCATGAGGATGTTGTCAAAGTCAGTGCAGCTCCACCTCAGCACATACATCCCCTCCTCACTCCCTTCTTGTCGCAGCTTATTGATGGCATATTCTGTGCTGGAGAGAGAAGTGGGCAAGAGACAAAGGTTCACATCACAGCACTTCAACTCCCGGACATCCACTTGCCTGCACTAGTGCAAGCTTCCAGTCCCATATCTTTACCTGCCAGGATGCTAAAGTCCTCTCTGACATGCATGAAGCAGGTGATGATATGGAGGAACTTGAGATACCCCGAGTTCCCAATGCCTAGAAAAGAAGTGGCCTACTGCCCCCCAACACACTCCAACACACAGAGTTCTGCTTGATTGTCCCCAAGTTCTCCAAAGACACTGTCTCTGTGTCTCACCAAAAGAGTGTCCCCTAATACTGGTGAGTAAAAGCTGCCGAGGCTACAGAAGCAGGAGTCCCATGCCGGACTCTCTACAGCCCCTCATTCTAACTGGAAAAGGCTTTGTTGAGGAGGGCATTTGGAGCCACTCTGTTTACTGCTGTGTCCTCAGTGACCACAACCGGCCTCACTCAGAGTAAGTGCTTAATCAGTAACAAGCTGAATAAATACCTCAGTGATGTGTAAAAGAGCATTAGAGGAGAACATGCCTTATACTCCTTTGTATTCCCCGGTGCACTGGCTAAATGGTTACCAGTGCCTGGTAAGCACACTGACTAGTGTTGGTCAAAGAGGCCTGGTGTGCTCAGTGTGCTTCAGAAAAGCAGACACTCGGCAGTCACTGGTATCACACACCTTTAATCCCAGCACTCAGGAGGCAGAGGTAGTTCAAGGCCAGCCTGGTCTACAGAGTGAGTTTCAGGACACCAGAACTACACAGAGAAACTCTGCCTTGGAAATCAACCCCCTCGCACATGCAGAAAAGAAAAAGGAGAAGAAAAGCAGAGACGCTGTGCCATATGATCACTGATCTCTCTATACCCTCACTTATGTTGATCCCTCATCTGAACATACACCTTGTCTCCTCTTTTAGACATGGCAAGCCATCATTGACTCTTCAATGCTTAATCCAATTTGAAAGCTACCTACTCCAAGTAGTAGATTTCAGCCTCCCACAAACATGCAACAATTATTCCTTCATGCTCAGTGTCCTTGCTGTGTATGCTGAAATAGAAGTAAGCAATGCAGACATGGTCCTGCCTTTAGGAGGCTCATTCTCTGGGAAGAGAGACAAGTCAAACCATGAACATAAAACTAAACATTGGCGGTAAGGAGGTAATGAACACCATTGAAGGAAAGCAAATCAGAACACAGTATTCAGGGAAGAGGAGCAGGGAGGGCACAGAATGTTGTCACTTTATATAAGGTGATTAGAAAAGACTTCTCAGACAAGGTAGTAGCTAATACGGAGGGAGGGAGGGAGGAAGGGAGGGAGGCAGAGAGGGAGGCAGGGAGGGAGGCAGGGAGGGAGGGAGGGCTATGGAGACCCTACAGCACTGGTTCTTTATCTGTAGATCGTGATCCATTTGGGGGGGTTTACATTATCAGATAATCTGCATATCAGATATTTACATTTTGATTGTAACAGTAGCAAAATTACAGTTATGAAGTAGCAATAAAATAATTTCATGGTTGGGGTCACCACAGGTGAGGAACTATATTAAAGGGTTGCAGCATTAGGAAGCTTAAAAACCACTGCCCTAGAAGAAGGGTATTCCACACATCAGGAAAAGCCAGTGACAGTGTCTGGAGGCGTAACTGAAACTGGAATACCAGAGAAAGATGCTTTTAGGGTGGCCAGCTCCTTGCTCTGCAATTCTTCATGTGCTTGTGAGCCTCTCCTGGCCAGTGACCACACACCATCAAACTACTCATCTCTCAGGTAACCAAGAAGAGAAGGAAGGAGAAATGTAGGCATCTGGTCTGTGAACCTGCAAAGGTGGCCACACCCTTTTGGGTGTGGCTTCAGGTGGAGGGAAGGAGGGAAGCTTGAGGTTTGTTTGGCTTTCCCTCTCTCGGTCTTTCTGGTGGGTCAGTCAATATAGTAGGAAGGGCAGGGAAATGCTCCCGTGGTTCTTTGTATTTTACTGAGTAACTGTTCCCCAATAAACACCCATTTATCACTTGTCTTTGGTTTAGCAAAGTCATTACAACCTCAGAGAAAGCATGTCACATGGAATACAGGTGAAGATAATTCCTAAGATTTAAAGATCTGCATCCTGTCTCCCTTGAAGTGCTCAGTATTGGACAGGGTGGTGGGAATTGGCTATGCAGAAGTGAAAGGGTTAAACTACGAGAAGCAGAAAGCAAATTAAGAGAGTAGTTAGGGCATGCTGTAAGGAGTATGGCAGGAAATGACAGGAAGAGCTGATGAAAGAAAAATCAGTGAGCACTGTGAGCAAAGAAGGTGCCTCCACGTGCTAGCCACTGGCCAACTGCCCGTCTCAACAACTGGCACATGTGGAGCTAAGGGGACTAGACTTTCTACTTCTAAAACCTGGGCTCTTTTCACACCAAAGGTAACAGAGCATTCTAGAACTAACCAGATTGGACCGTGACAGCCATTCTGTATATTGTGGACAATCAGTGGGGGAGCCACATCGGTGCAGAGGAAATGGTGGGCATCTGCTGTGAGCCGGAAGTAGCCATCTACCAGGGACACAAAGGACAAGGCCTCCTCGTGAGAAGAGAGCTTCAGTTCCTGGTGAGAAAGGAGACAGACCACAGTTATAGCACTATTCTGATATGGCTGGAGCTTACCTGCAGATACCTTGAGAAAGCAAATTTCAAATACTCTAGAGTAGGGAGACAGCTGGCTGAAGCAGGTCCCACCTGGCATACCAAGCCACCTTAGTTTCCTGCCAACAGAAACCTGAGCAGCATGAGAGGTGTGTGGGAGACACAGGGAGAAGTGACAACCAAACAAGACTTGGCAACTTGCTGCCATTCTGCTTTCGTGAAAGACCAGCAGCCCAGCGCCGCCCATTTGAAGAGTGGAGGGCCAGAGAGCAAGACTGTTCTCAGGTGAGAGGAGGGCAGAGCAGCGGATCACAGGCTGTGCAGCACGCTTCTGCATGTCACGGCACCTCCACCTGCTACTGGACTCGAGCATAGTCAACTCCCCGTTTTTATAGGTCAAAATGGCCAACACGTGGCAATTTCAAATTGTTTAACCAAGGATCGGTGTGTCCTTAACGGTTACTTAACCCCTTTGTGCCTCTGCAAAATAGGGATGACTCTCACCAGAGCTGACTCGGATATTAAAACAGCTGACACTTGTCAAGTCCTTAGTGGAGGAAATGCCTGGCACAACCTTAGTGTTGGTGTCAGTGAAGGAAAACCAACTTGCAAGAGATAGGTATTTCTAAGTGCCTTTCCTGGTTATTGATCCCTTTGCAGCACAGTAGCCTGGCAGAACCAGAGGCCTGGATGCCTAATATGAACTCTGACCTTCAATATGGGGGGCACTAACTGGTTGCCAGATGTGACTGGTAGCCAGACAGAATGGAGTTGCTCATAAAATGTGAAGCCCACTTACTGCATCTCTTCCTCTGCTGTCACCTTACAAGGCTGCCCACACTGAGTAACCCAACCACTGACCTGCTGTTCCCACCACCCGCACCTCAGATTTTTTTGAGGGATGGTAATTAGAAGCCCAAAGGAATTACCTGGCAGAAAGTATGGCTTGCAGCCAGACAGCCTCAGACAAATCCCGTCATTTTCTCAATATGAAGTACAGTACAAGTCCCTATGGCTCTCCACTGCAGTTTCAGGGTCCCCATTTGAAACTGAGCTGACGTCTTCCAGTTCTTCTAAAGTAGTGGTTCCTAACCCCCCTAACGCTGTGACCCTTTAATACAGTTCCTAATGCTGTAGTGACCCCAACCATAAAATTACTTTCACTGCTACTTTGTAACTATAATTTTGCTACTGTTATGAATCATAATGTAAATATCTGATATGCACATGGTCTTAGGTGACCCCTGTGAAAGGGTTGTCTGACCCCCAAAAGGGGCTGTGACCCACAGGTTGAGAACCATTGTTCTAAGACTCAACAACACAGGCTCTTCTTTCCCACAACCTACAAACCGAGGAGAGGTATCGATAACACGCTTCTCCCTCCTTTTCTCATTTTCCCAACATCTCTCAACATTTCTATTTCTCTATTTACTTTTTAATTTTTTATTAGATTTATTGTGTGTGAATGCATATGAGTGTGTATGAACACATGCATGCCTCAGCGCACATGTGGAGGTCAGAGGTCAGCTTTCTGGAGTCAGTTCTCTCCTACATGTATGTGGTTCCTGGGGATTGAACTCAGGTCATCAGGCTTGGTGGCCAAGTGTCTATACCTGCTGAACCATCTCACCAGCCATTCACCTTAACTACATTGTTTTTCCTGATAAAGCTACTTGTTCTAATGTTTGAAAAAGAGGAAGGCAGACTAAGAAAACGAAAGCCACTCACAATCTTACTACAAACTAATGGCTGTGAAGATGGAACATTTGTTCTGAGGGCATGTACACACACATGCTAACCTCCCAAAACTTGGTAAAGGAAATCAGTACTAGCTTATAGATCAATATTTACATTCTGTTTTTATTCCATCTATAGAGCTTTTGTTGTTGTTGTTTTTAACAGTTTGGTTATGTAATATCCCACTACTTGGGTGAACTGATCATTTTCCCAGACTTCTATTTGTATACCTAGGGTGTTTGCAGTATTCTGACACTGTAAATACTGAACTGAACTCCTACTTATAAGCCACATCTGCATCTCACATGGTTTCTGGAAAACATGTTCCTTGGTTCCTAAGCAGAGACCCACAGGAATACTCTCACGGTTCTGCATCTGCTGTCAGTGTACTTTCCAAAAGACTGTCAGAAAGGCAGCCTCTAGAGATGAGTGTGTGTGAGACCCTGCAGCCTGAGCGGCTTCACCGGGCTCTTCCTTTGAGTTGTGCATTATCTTTCTGACATCGTTTTAGGGAAAACAAGCTATCTCTCTGATGCTGACACCCTTCACTCTGTACACATGCCTGCCACACTAGCTTGTCCTCAACACATGATATCAGGGGTGACTTCCCACAACAAAAACATGTCTATTTGGCAGAGTTACCACTTTCCCTGCCAAATTGGCCTGAGTCCATGGGTGTGCCTGACACCCTGATGGGGCTGTCCTGTGGCCTGCCACTCGCCTGAAGTCTAATCATGTGCCAAGTGTGGCTTCCCACCATTTCATCTCAGATGACCCACCCAGCTCAGAGATGAATTTATGGTTAACAGTATGAGATAGATTGGACATGGACAAGTCTACAGTAATAAACAGAACTATGATACACAAGAGTGGCCCAGACAGCACAAAGACAGAAAAGCAAATAAAGGGCAAAGAGGTCAGGTGTTGGCTCCAGTTCTGCCATGGGGTTCTAGTGCATGAGCACGGTGGATAGGGACCTTGGTCCTTGTAGAGCCCCGTCCCCTTACCCCCTACTGCCCCTCGTCTTAGTGTGCTGACAAGGTGGGAAGTTGGTATTTCCTGGGCTTGGGAATGGGTCTACTTGTGCAGAGGATTAGCTCTTAGGAGACTCCTGAGAGGAAGACACTCTCTAGGGAGGTGAGGACTGGGAGGTATTAGATTGACAGACGCAATCTAAGGCAAGAACTCAGGTACCAGCCCCAGGGTAGCACCATCACACAGCAGGCTTTGACCAGGGCAGACCTCTGTGCATCTCTGCCCACGTGGTACAATAAAGAAAGGGTGGATTTAACTCCTTTTCCTTCATATCTACCGTGTGTGTGTGTGTGTGTGTGTGTGTGTGTGTGTGTGTGTGTGTGTGCCATAAGTGTACAGTTTCCAATAGAGACCAGAAAAAAAAGGCATCAGATTTCCTAGAGCTAGTTTTGAGTTACAGGACATGAATGCTGGGGTCCAAACTGGGGTCTTTGGAAACAATAGCATTTGCTCTTAACAGCTGAGCCATCTCTCTGGCCCACTGTTCACTTATTTTTATAAAGTAAATGTTGACATTGAAATGTCTTTGGGTGGTTAAAAACGCTAAAGCAGATGGACATTTGTAAGAACCAAGCACAGTACTGGGATGTGCCAGCATAACTCTGAAGCAGATACTGACAGAGCCTGGCAATGGGGCATCTGGCTTAAAAGGAACCATCACCAGACCTTTAATTGGGGAAGGAACTCTAGAGGTCATGTGCCACAGAACCATCTTCAGCAGCGTCTTTCTCTCTCATCAGCACATCCAGACTGAGCAGCTCCTGAGCAGGCTTACCATGTTTTTATTGTCCTGCTTGTTAATGCTGACTACAGACTCCTTTATTACAATGTGGGTGATTTCGGGGAAATAGGAAAAATTGTTCCAATCTTCCCGGAGTTTGTTTTTCTCCTCATCCTTCTTGTGTTTATATTCCAGTTTTTTCCGCTTCAGTTTATTTTTTTCCTTTTCAACAGGAACAACCTGATAAGATAACAAAAATGACAGGATTTAGTTAGTTTTCTTATCTTCTGTTGGTAAAAGGTCAGTGCTTCAAGCAATTTTGAACAGGGCCAAGGCCCACGGAAGAGAAAGTCAGCATGCCTAAAGTCAGAGAACTTTAAAAACAAATGATGGAGCCCTATCAGAACCCTGGGATTTCATTCTCCAAACATCCTTAATGGGCACCAGGATGAAAGTCTTTACACGAGTTACAATGTACATGTTGATGCTAGAGAGGACATGATGTACATACATGCACCAGCCACAGGCCTCCTCACTTCTAGACTGACGGTGTGCTTAATGGGCACCAGGATGAAAGTCCTTACACGAGTTACAATGTGCATGTTGATGCCAGAGAGGACATGATGTACATGCACCAACCACAGGCCTCCTCACTTCTAGACTGACGGTGTGCTTCAGCCCAGGCAGAGAACAGATCTTCCCAAGCGTGAATGGGAAAAATCCAAGTTCCTCCTGCTACCAATGTTTTGACTTTATAATAGTGAGACTTTTCAAGAGATATGAGCCCATATTTCAATAGCTGACACACACACGCATGAGTTTATCTAGCTGATTAGCATGAGCTCTGCAGAAGAGATTCCACATTAATTTCCTGTCTGTGCCAGCTACTTAACTAGTCAGATCATCTCTGAGTCATCATTTCCCCAGACATAAAATATCACCTTTTAATCTTCATGAGATTAGGCCACATGTCTTATACTTTACTATGCAGAAAGCCCTTTGGCAATTTGGTATTATTATTTTAACATGAAAATAAGGCAGGGGGAGAAAATAAAATCTTACATTTAATGTTATTACTTGCACTGATAACTATGCAGCTAAAGTAATTCAGTCAATAGTTATTATCAGTCAGGTTCTGTGCCCACATGCCATTTAGTTCTCTCAACAACTGTAACTGCAGCCAGCCCATTGATTTCATGGGTTTTACATTCACCAAGTCTTTGTGCACAGACTGAAGAGCCAATGGCCAAATGCCAGGCCTGTAATGCTGTGTCTGTACCCACATGCATTCTTTTGTCATGTTCCCTATGCAGTCCAGTGTTATCTATTTATGTAGCATTTACATAATGTTAGGTATTATAAGGCACATATAACAAGTGCATACAGAAAGCTATGTATAGGTTGCATAAAAATACTGTATCTATGAGACATGAGCACCCACAGATTTTGGTACAAGCACAGAATCATGAGACAATACCTGCCTCCAGGTACTAAGGGACAACTTAACAGATGAGAATTTCCCTTAACAGATGAGTCCTCTGCACCCTGATGGGTACAATAACCCTAAGACCACATAACCATAAGGAGTGGAACTGGAATTTGAGCATGTTTCCTTAGGTTTAAACTCATGTTATTACCTCATTTGGCAAAGACAAACAGCTTCGTATATAGTTCAACAGTAGAGCACCTGCCTAAACATGTAAAGCCCTAGATTTGATCCCAGTACTGCAATGACAAGTAAATGTTGGGGAGGGGTGTGAAGCATGCTCTAGGCCCTTGATTCAGCCCCCAGTACAACAAAACAAACACCTCCATGAAGTTTCATAACACAAAGGCAATTATCTATTTGGTGGCGCTGAAAGCCTGCCGAGGTTCAGCTCTTGCCTCAACTGTGCCACAGTTTTGATGTGAGGGATGAGTAATACATGCCCTCCAGCCGAGGTGTTTGCATTTAGCCTATGGGGTGAGGTCATGCAAACAGGTGATTCTGACAAGCTCAATGGCACACTCCAGTGACATAGGATCTTCTCTTCATTACACATCCAGAGCCACTTACATTTGGTTTCTGCCGCCACTGGATTCCAAGATTTCCAGTCACCATGACTTCATAGAGAACGTTGCCACTGTCATTCGAATGGGACCGACTCAATTCATTTTCTGATGAAATCAGTAGCATAGACGTCTCAAATATTTCAGCTCCATAATGTTTTGTCAAAGTTTCCAAGGTAGCCAGGTATTTCACCTTCAGGTCATGTGTGGACACACTACTGTCACAGATGGTCTTGTTGTTAAATTCCTTCAGGAAATCCTTGAAAACGTTATTTATTCTCAGTCTGGTAAGAAGGTTCCTCTGTCTGATGGATTTATTCAATGTTTCTGGGATATACCGCTTGTAGCTAAAAGAAAATAAAAAACTTTAAAAAAAAATACAAGTAAGCAAGAAATGATTAGAAATATGCCTCTATGATGTTCCTTGTATATGTAGGCAAGTGAGAAAACAGGATCTAGTACAAGAGGATCACAGACGTAAACAATTACAAAGAGATAGACACAGGCTGGAAAGATTGTTCAGTGGTTAAGTCTGCTCTTCCAGAGGACCGTAGTTCAATTCCCAGTACCCATATGGTGGCTCACAATTGTCTGTAACTCCATTCCTAGGGGATCCAACACCCTCACACAGTCATACATGCAGGGAAAATACCAGTGTATACATAATAAAGATAAATTATAAAAAAGAGAAACAGAAGTAACCTCATGAATGTATACCACTATCATAAACAATACAGTCACAAAGAACCCTCCCTTCATATTGGAGGGTATATCTGAGGGTTTAGCCCTCTTTTGTGGTACTTAGAATGAACCTAAGGGCTCATACATGGTGGGCAAGAGACTCCATCATTGAGTTCTATCTCTTACAAATAGCTCTTAAAATGAGATGGTCTTTTTCTTTTTTGTTTCTAATTTTATTGTAAACAGTGTCTCACTATGCAGGCTTGGCTATCCTGAAACTTGCTATACAGACCAGGCTGCCCTCAAACTCAGATCTGCCTGCCTCTGCTCCTGCCTCCCAAGTACTGTAAGTAAAGGCATGTACCACCATGCCTGGCTGGGATTCTTTTATGGCTCATTGGTGAGTGGAAAGGCAATTCAATTTCACAGATGGGCTGAAATTACATAGACTAAATATTAATCTCAAACCACATCTTAATACAATTTTCTGTAACTAATAACTGACTATCCCTCACATGAGAAGTACCAGCTCCTGGATCACTGAGTACAGGCTACAAATGACAGACAGTAATGCCACCGTGGGAAAGACAAGAAGCATGGAGGGCATGCAGATCACTCATATGCCTAGACTCTTCACTCTAGTTCATAGTTCTGAGATTACTGGCTAGCACTAAAAAAAAAAAAAAAAAAAGGCCACAATTTTAAGTATGCTACTTTGTACAAATATTCAAAGATTTGAATCATGCAGAGAGAGGTCAGAAAAACGCTGCAGCAGTTAAACAAGAAATATGAACACATGTAAAATAATATTACAGCTTGGGGAGGTGGAACATGCCTGTAATATCAGTGCTTGGGAGGCTGAGATTGGTAACTCATGAGTTTGAGGTCAGCCTGGACTACATAAAGCAAGACCGTGCTTCAAAACTAACATCCCAAATCAGTAACACATCCCCACTAGCCACTGAGGCTAGCAGGAAGCTTACCTGATGTCTTTGGGAAGTTCTGGCAACTGCATCTTCTTCATCATGGCATAGTGTGAGATGGCCAGAACAGCCATCCCCAGGCACTCATTCTCAATGTCATGTCCATCCTGCTCCGTCTTGGGGTCCCGAATGGGAGCCAGACATTTGATCAAATCATACTGTCCCTTGGGAGCAGAGAAGAGAAAAAATGAGCCACCACCTAAGCTTCAGGAGCCACTCATGCTGATCTCGAAAGGATCAAGATGGTCAAAATGCCATACAGCAAGGAAAGGAATCAGCGTGTTTCCAATATCAAGGCTGTTTCCACTAAAGCGGGGTACAAAGCATATGTTCTCCCTAGATCACTTCATTTATTGATTTAGTGAGTATTTATTGAGTACTTGTCAAGGTGCTGGTGAAGAACACAAATTCACAAAGCCCCATTATGGGGCTTAATACATAAACAATGCCTATACGCAGTGTATAGGTCTGAACTGTATCAGAGCAAGACAAATGGCACTGGTCAATAGGATTAATTTCATCAACATGTATTATCCAGCCTAGAATAGGGACTGTGTGTATGGAGTTGGCAGGGCACCAGCTCCTTTTCAGATGGGGGTTTGGGAAAAGGGTAAGGAGTCACATTCCACAGTGCATCATTACCACAATCCATTAGTTTGTTTCACACATGTTATTTTCAGTACAGAAAAATGTCACCAGAATATACTATCTCACAGATGGGAGAAGGGTATCACATTCCACAAACCAATGGGGACTTTAAAAACAAAATATAAAACAAGACTAAAAACCAGTACCCATAACCAGCCTTGTTCAGAGCAACGAGCCAGTACAGACTCACACTCACTAACCCTAGCCTCCCTGCTAGACACGTGAGCCGCTATTTTACTTCATCTTAGTCCTCACAACAGCCTTCCCTGATAGGGAAGGAACTGAATAATGGGCAAGGTATTCTCCTAGGCACTAGAGACTTAGCAATGGAGAAGCTTCTGACTTCATGGAGGGTCCATTCTGAAGAAGAAAAATAGGAATCACTAACGTTGGATGATTCAGAAAAGCAAATTCAAATAGAAGAGTGGCCCTGACCATGATTCCAGAGCACCTTTCCTTAACGCTGTAGTAGCTGCACCAACTCTCTGCTAGGTATTCCCACTTTGAGGAGATGGACATCCCAGTTACTCTGCCTGGGTGAAGGCGGGTCTGGGAGAGCGGTTTCTAGGGAGACGCTTTCTCCGAGAGCACTTCAGTCTCATGCTTTTGTTTTCTTTTGCTGGGGACTGGGTGGGGTGTTGCAGTAACCTTTTGTTCATATAGAACTTTTTTCTTTCAGGTAAAGAAAGGCCACTGGCCAGTTCCACAAAGTTTTGAAGGAAACAAGAACCTACACCAATAATGCTTGAGGAGCACAAAAAATCTGAAGCTGGGATCTTGGGAAGAGAAGGGAGAAGCTGTAACTGTCTGTGAACACTCTTTATAACTACCTCAAGGAACTCTATGCTGAGATGCTGACTTCTGGAAAGTGGGGTTCTAAAGCAGGGATGACATCAGGGCACTTCTCTCTGTCACTAAAGTCTGTTCCTTTAAGACAGATTCTCACCGAGAAGCCCAGGCTGACCTCAATTCATAGCATGAGCCTTTAAAGGGCTGCCCTCATGATTTCTTATGCAGTATCTATGTATCATTTACAAACTACTGTTTCTTATTTTCTAGCTTGAGAATACAATGGTGCACACAGAAACCATGTCTTTTCATCCAAATACCCAGTGTCTTGGCAAATATAACAGCATAAAACAAACAAGACACAAACATCCAGTAAATAATGTGTTACATAAATGAATTGAATTGAAGCCAATGAAGGAGCAGGAAATAGGGCAAAGAAAAGTTGTAAGTCTGGAAAACCCATAGCTGGGAGCCAACTCCTTCCCCAGTTACCTGCCTTTCCCAATCACCTGGGCAAGAATATCACAGAACAGGCCATAAAGTGCCACCAAGCACAGCTGCACGGGGACTGTGAGCCCCACCTGGTCTCACTCTCCCCACAAACTACAGGCCTCAAGCTTCCTACCTGCGCAAACAAATACTCCAGTGAACTAGCATCAAGGAGTGGGGTTGCTTCTGGAACCTTTTTCTTTTCATATCCATTTTTCTGCTTCTTTGGAGAATGCCGCCATACAGACTGCTCATTGTCATTGGTTCCATGCCAGTTGGTAAAGTAGAACCTAAAAGACAGCAAGAATAATGTCAACTGTGGCAGAAAAGTCCCTGGACTGCTGGCCTGGAGAGGTGTCTACACACAGGCCCATGCTGAAGCTGAACTGAGGAAATCGACGACACAAGCCTTGCATCTACAATCTTCATTGCCCTGAGCCAAAACCCTTCTCACTCTTCCAAGTGTGCTGTCACAATGTACCTTCCACACATCCTCAGGGTCAGGAGGATAATATCCTAGTGATCACAGGACAGCCCTTCCGACAGCTGTTACACTGACCACACCTTCCTAGGTAAAACACCTGCCACCTACAACTATCTGCCACCCCATAGCTCTAGTACTGCTTGGCTGTCCTGCCTCAACCCAAGACCTTTCTATTCTTGGTTCCACCATTTCTAAAATCAAGGTCTGCCCTACAGTCAGTACTAACACAGTAGTGTTTTTAATCCCAGATGGCTGTTATTGAGTTGGTGACATATTTTACAATGAGCAAGGTCTCAAAAGAGAACTACAAAAACATGGGGCTTGAGAGATGGTTAAGAGCACTGACTGCTCTTGGAGAGGACCTGGGTTCAATTCCCAGCATCCACATGACAGTAACAACTGTCTATAACTCCAAGATCACACTCACGCAGACACACATGCAAATAAAATAAAAAATAAATAAGTAAATAAAGACAGCAGTTGTGCTGACATGATGAAAGTGAAGAGCACTTTAAAGCTTTATACCACCTTATCTTAAGAGCAATACCCCAGGTAGATTTTATTGTTTCCTTGTGCAGATGAGGAAAACTGAAGTTCACTGGAGCGAAGTGACCTAACACTCCAAGCCTGACTCACTACCACTCTGGCCTGCCACCTGTTAGGAAAACAGGATGGGTTCTGAGCTGTGGGAGTGTGGTCCAGCTACGCTGGCCCAGTTGTTTCCAGGCTGCAGACTCAGCCCTGCCTGAGGCTCTCTCCCAAAAGAGCCAATAAGGTGATAATAAACCATATCACTAAGAAACAATTAACTCCCACCTTAAAGAGTTCCTATTAAAGTCAGACAACAAAAGAGCCAGTACAGGATACAGAGGACTCTCAGGCTTAGTCTGCCCTCTGTGAGTTCTCTGTCCCACAATAATACAAAACAACAGGAAGTGGACACATGTCATAAGCAGAACTACACTGCACTTTCACAGTCCCCACATACTTCTCTTTTCCTCTATAAATATCTGTTAAGAGCTACATTTTGTAACTCTTAGATTTAAACTGTTAATTGTGACTTTAAACGAAATATAAACAGACTGTGAGCTGTTAACATTGTGTTTAATAGGAAACTTGTCCAGAATGATAAATTATCCTGGGATGCACATAATCTGCAGGCTACAGTCCTGGCTCTAGAACATAGACAGCAAGCAGGTACATGGATGAGACAAGATGCTTTTGAAAGAACAAGATGAGCTAAACTGGCCAGGAAACAAGGAGGTACCTCTTGAAACAGTGTGGGCAAAGTGAGAGCTCCCTGATAGCAGAGGCCACAGCTGTCTTGCTCAGCACCAAATCCCCAGAGCCTATATAGCAGGTGCTACATATGTGCTTGACAGATAAACAAGTGATGAACAAACTCAAGGAGTAGCAGTCAACATGAAGAAGAAAGGATGGATACTTTACTTTAAAGGTAAAAACCAGTATTTTGCAGCTTTTGGTGGTTGTGCACAGCTTATCATCTCTGTCGGTCATGAAAGGAACTGGAAGACTGACTATGGGCTTTAGTGGCTTTTTGCATGCAGAAAGAGTCACCAGCTGCACAAACTACACCAGGTCACCAAAGCAGATACAGATTATACCCTCGGAGACCATATTCCAGTTAAAATAAGAACCCACAGGGACCCACAACATAGTGGAAAAGTGTTTCTATGGGCCCAGGCCTTACAGTACTCTTCACTGAAGGAACAGAGCACAGCAGAGAGGAGTCAGCGAGGCTCCATGCTTCCAAAGCAGGAAGTAAGGAGTGAATCACCTGGCCTGCTACAAAGGTTTATCTAGGGCTCTGAAGAGCATACTGGTCAGGTAAATGCTGCCTAGTGTTAGAGAAGAACCATGATAGAACCACAAGCATCACGTTCAACATGGCAGGTTTCCTGCAAGTTGCTGAGAGACGCACTGAGACAGGTACTCTCTGAACCAATCTAACCCATTCATCTAAGATTAAACATCTTTGAATTGGTAAGCAAGGTTCAGTGATGTTTGCCCACAATTCTAATATATGGGAGTTCAAGGCAAGCCTAGGCAACTTGGCAAGATACCACTGGGGGGAAAAAGATGTTGTTCACTTTGTCGGCACAAATACTAAAATTTGGAACAATACAGAGATTAGCATGGACCCAGTGCAAGGATGACGGATCTGTGAAGCGTTCCATACTTAAATTTAAAAGATGATTACCAATATTAATACCTTCCTAATTACGAGAAACAGGAACATGTAACTATGTATGCCTGGCTTTTTATGTAGGTGCTAGGTAGGGATCCAAGGTCCTCACAAGCACTTTATTGTCTGGGCCAGCTCCAGTATAATTATAAAATTCTCCAAATTAAAATTAAAAAACTACCAAGGAGCTTACTGAATTTATCATACATAAATTCTGACAATCTGATAACAGTTGGGGAGTAAGTGTGGTATTCTTACAGCTCATACTCCTCTTCAGAATGATGGAGAAAGAGAGAGGAACAGATCAGCCTTCAAAGTTCCTTGCCAGGCAGTGGTGGTACACACCTTTAATATCAGCACTTGGAAATAAAGGCAGGAGGACGTTTATGAGTTTGAGGCCAGCCTAGACTACAAAGTGAGTTCCAGGACAGCCAGGGCTACACAGAGAAACCCTGTCTAAAGGGGAAATTTTTCCTGAAAAACAATACTAGAGATGACTACACATTCTGAGTTTGTATTTAAACTAAAGCCAGTGATTTTTCACTTATAAGGGTTTTTTTCTTGAAAACAAGTAGAGTATGATTGCCTTACACTAACATATATCATAAATAACTATCCAAACCATTAACTAAAAACAGAAAACCACGATTAAAGTGAAAGAATATTTCCCAAAATAGAGCCAGGATGTCACTGAAACAGTCACTAGCACTTGTTTTCTTTCTGCATCTTCTTCAGTGGTTAGATTGCCAGCTTTCAAGCTCTTTGTAGATTGTCTAATACAAATGTTTGAGCTTAGAGTGCTATCTTTTTTCCAACTTCAAAGAGACTGTGGTAAGAAAGCAATATCCTGTTGAAGCACACTGGCAGGTATAAAGTTGAGGTGACAGAACTGAAGCCTCTGTGCACTTCCTGGCAGCGAACACAAAAGGCAAATGCAACCTGTGACCAATAACAAGTACCTGCAGCATTGCCAAGATGGTTTACCAAGTGTGGGGCTTCATCGCCTTCCCACGGAAAAATGGGAGAGTTGAGCAAGCAAGCTCAGGTCACTTGTAAATGCCAAATACTGCCACACTGGACTCTGACCTAAGTCTAGACGCCTGCAGAAAGGAGTCAGAACTGAGGGTATGTCCCTGTCCAGACTTCCAGCTGCAGGTCTATCTCACAATTCTGGTCAGAGAGTCATCCCCCTGGCTGTGAGGAAAACAATCCAAGTATAGTAAGAAGGCTCATCTGGGAGGGTTAAAGAGTCCCCAAAAACTGGGGCGAGAGGCACACAGTTCTCCCGACAAGGTGAGAACTTAGGTGAACACCAGAAGAGGAGAACTCGGCCTTTCAGACTGGAACTGTGCCGTACAAGCAAACTGCAAAGGAGACAGCAGCTGGGGCACTATAGAGACCCCTGAGATTCTGCAAGGCCTTTCCAGCATGGCCTGACATCCTCTTAGCATCCGAGCTAATCCACTGATTTAAGCAGATTTATACAAATCAAGATCCTTCAAAAGGGCTCTGCCTACTTTTAAGCTTTAAGACTAACCACACGCAGACTTGTGCTTCACTGCTATCTAAAATGCTTTAAACTACACAGCAGCTACTGAACACACTGATAAAGGCAAAAATCTGCACTGATGGAAGCACCAGCTGTCTATGTGGCCTTGGGACACTTAAAAACTCGTGACATAGGGAAAAGTTACGTAAGTGTTCAGCAGAACAAAAAGCATAAAACCAAGAGAGCCAAGAGTCCTCAGAGAGTCACAGCAATCACTCCCAGAGAGTCAAGACTGAGAATTTATTCCTGTTACCTCTTCAGGTGGTAAAAGAATGCTTCTCAGACACAACCTTTAGTAGAAAATATGTTTTATAATACAACTTAGTTTATATATATATATTACATACCTCATAAGTTTTAAAATGTGATAAGCTTAGGAAATATATATCTAGATATGGTTTCTTGTTTCTTTCCCTCTATTTTTTTTTCAAGTTCTGGTTATAACCCACTATGTTAAACTTATAACCATGTCTCATCATGTGGAAAACTTTGCTAGAGGGCTTGGATTCTATCCAAACACTCTTTGTATCATGTGACACAGGTGATTAAAATCACCTTAAAATCACACCCCAAAATGGAAGCTGTTCCTTCTCATACCAAGCAAATATAAAAGTTACAAACTCCAGTGACTATAGTACTTCTTCCTAAGTGACTCAGGGCTCCAGGCCAAACACTGCCCCAGGCAACACGAAGAACCCCGCTGGTACCAGCCCTGCGTGCTATACCTCATGCGGTAGTGGAGCCGGAGAGACAGCTTGTCGTCCACAGTGATGATGTGGTTCGGAGCGTACCAGAGCTTGGTGCTCTCATTGTACAGGGCGAAGAGGTTGTGACAAAGAGGAGAAATATCTGGGGAAAGAGCACACCACAAAGTTAATAGGCAGATGCATTTGGTCACCTGCTTCCAACAAGCAACATATGCAAAGATAAGGAATTCTCTCATCCAGAGACAATCTAGGTCACCTCATCCTCTCAAGGCAGATACAACTCTCAACTATGTTCACTTTGGGAGTTTTAATCACAGCTCCTCAGGAGCATGTATTGTGGCTCCTGTCAAACCAAACTAAAGTAATTTAAAAATAAAATTTGGGGACATTTCTCATTAGAGGGGTCTTACCAAATTCTGATGAAGAAATAAAAGAGCTATCTCAAAGGTCCAGAGATCCTACCTGACATGCACATTTTTGACCACAGCAAGGCAAGAAACATCTGAGAAATGTAGAACTTCGTTAATCTGCTTCCTATAATTTGTTTAGACAATTCTGACACTGTTATTATACATTGATGGGGGATGTCCTTCTGTATATATGTTTCTCTTATTGGTTGATGAATAAAACACTGATTGGCTGCTAGCCAGGCAGGAAGTATAGGCAAGGCTATCAGGAGACAGCACACACATGTACTCCAAATAGAACAATGAAGGGATATGAGTGTCAATGATCAGTAGTTTCTGTTATCTTTAGCTCTAGCCAGATCAAACTTAAAGAAATGGTAATCCTAAATTAACATCTCCACCCCACCCTCTCACAAAGTGTTTCTTCTGAAACAACAGTAGCATTAACAAGGCCATTCCTGACCCTCAGTCTCTTCCAGTGTCACCCTGGGTTAGAAGTTACAGGTGCCTGAGCATCTCAAAGTCCTCTTTGGTCACTTCAATCTGGACCTCTCAAAAGAAAAAGTGTGGACTGGCAAGATAGTTCAGCAGGTAAAGGCACTTGCCACCAATCCAGATGACCTTAGTTCAATCCCTGGGACCCACATGGTAGAAGGAGATAACCCACTCTTGTGAAGTCATCTTCTGATCCCTACATATGTGGGTTCATATGCATATGCACGCACGCACACACAAATGTAAAAAAGGAAAAAGGAAACAAAGAGAAAAGTCTTCCCTTAAGTTAAGACCATCTTCCTTTGGAAACAAGAGCCAACATATTCTTCCCCATGACATAAGTCCCTTCCCTTTTGCTGGTGTTCTGGTGTCTAAAGCACTTTAGGCAGAAAGATATGTACTGGGAAGTAAATGGGGCCTCCAGACAAGCTTCATTACTAATAAGATCTTAAAGTATCTACAATATCCCCACAATTTTGCTCTCAAAGCTAAGGGCACAGACCAGGCTCTACAGTATCACTTCAAGTTACTTCATCACCAAAAGAAGAGTTACTACAATCTTTTCCATTACAGCTTTACTGGAATACAGTTTACAACAATAAAATCTACCTGTTGTAAGTGTATATTCCAATGAACAACAATGAGATTATGAACAGATTTATTTTTTTTAGGTGCTCTAGTTTCTAACCCTAGAAAAGTAACAGGCTACTTTAAGTAAAAATAAGTCTCACCTTTTTTTATTATTATTAAGTTTCAAGTTAGCACACAAGGGCCTCACCATGGCATTTTCATATATATGTATTTTTAAAACAAATCTCACTTTTAAAAAGAGACGATGAATGGCCTTAGAGTTGTTTTCACAATCTAGCATGACAAAGGCCACAGGACAACCCTAAGAGTCTCACTTCAACCCAGCACCCATGGGAGAACAAACCAGATAGCAGAAGGACAGGCCAAACGTATGGAGTTAGAATAACCACTAATACATTAGGAAAGAGTACTGCCGACTTCACATTCACACTTGTGCTGGGTGCTTCACACAACACCCCACCTAGTGCTGAGTCATTCCAATTACAGAGATGTGGAGAAAAGAGAACCGAGCTTTGGCTGGATGAGATGGGTGAATGCATGCAACCCAGCACCTACTTGGGTGTCAGGAAGAATACAGCTTTGAGGCCAGCCTGGGCTATGTATGGAGTTCTAGAACAGCCTGAACTATAAACTGAGTCTGCCCAAGACAGCTTCACAGAAGGCAAGGGTCATTCCTCGGTATTCTATAATGATAAAGGAGGAATACACCATATTTCAGTGAGAAGTAAAATCCATGATTAGAAAATGAGACAGAACTCTGATTTCCAGAGCGCACACCTTGTTCTCAGCAGAAATAAAAGGAGGAAAGAGTCCAAATGTGTTTCTGGACTGCAGCACTGCAACACTGCAGTCTCCCAACCCTGCAGCTGGTACTCACTGCACTCCTGGGCGGCCTTGATGCACAGCTCCTCCGCAGTGTATTCTCCATTGCCCAGGCGGAGTGGCTCCCTATCCAACAGATAGAAGGTCACTTCCACTCCTGGCTCAGGGACCACCTGCTTCACCTCAGTCTTCTTGAAGCTCCTCATTTTAGCACAGAACGCCATGGCATTGCAGTCCTCTTTTATGTTTAGATACTGTAGGGGAGGAAAAGAGGACAATGTAGTCATTCCATGTGCTGTTTGCTCTGAAGGAAAGCAAGCAGGTATCTGTGGTGTTGGATGAGAATTGCTACCCTTTTCTGCTCTGAATACCAACTAGGTCAGGGATGACAAGAGATGAAACCAAAGAAATGATTAATTATGCATGGTAACTAAGCAGTTAGACTATATTCTCAACAATCAGAATAATCTCAGGCATGATTTGAATTTTTCTCTATTTGCACACTAGTTGTAGTTGAAAAAAAAGCTCTTGTCTAGAGCCAATAGTGTTGAAGGATTGATGCATAATTAGAATACTGCTGCCTCTGCTGGGATCACATAACTTCTAAATAATCTACAGAAAGAATCATGGTCTTTCCATTCTATGTCTGTCCCTCACAGAACATCAAGCCTGGTGAAGACATGAGTCATACTGTCTCTGTGCTCATGCCCTCGCCTGATGCAGTGTATACAAAGTGACTACTACTTATGCACTCTTATAAATCACATGGAATGGCCATGAAAGAAGATGACTCTGGCCAGGCCCCTATCAACTGAGGGAAGCAGAAGGACAGGCATTTTGGGTAGTGCAAGACTCACAGGTAAATTCTTTGCAAGGAAATCATTCACAGGGCCTTCAAACCAAGAGGTACAGGCCCAAAGCAGACCCAGGCACTGAGCCCAGAGCAAGGCCAATGGAGGAAAAGAGCAAGGGGAATCCCACACATCCTTCCAGTCCCTGCCCAACACCAATGACCTTCCAACCATTTTCCTGCCCTCAAACTATTTCCTTCCTTCCTGCCAATCTAAGCTTCACTTGAATTTCCAAGTATTATCTCTGTAACACAGATCAGATCCTCCACTAGTTGCCCATTATTTGCAGACTAGTCTCAAACAGAAACAGCTCTTTATCTCCTGGTTAGCAGTCCCATCACCTCATCTCCTCTCACTTCTAGCTGCTTAAAACCCAGGCCACCAGGCATCCCTGTGCCCTCACCCTCACCCATTCTGCTCCATGTGCGGTCTTCACATATGCTGATTCCAACACTGAAATATACTCCTACCTCTTAGCTTTCATGGCAAAGTGCAATCTTCTTCAGAAACCATTCCAGACTAGGATTTCCTCCAAGAAGCCTTCACTGAGTCCAGTTGTACCCTTATGCTGGATGCCATCTCTTCTGTATTACTAACCTTACCATACCAGCCATGAGGTATCATGGTCATCGAATACATGCACCTGTCTGCTGTGAGTTCCCTGAGCATATTCATCTTTGTATACCCAGTAAGACGCACAGAGACTTGCATACAGTGGGCAGTTAGGAGACATACAAGGATGTCCCCAAACAGGAAAAGTTCGACATAATCCTCAGCACCAAATCCATTCACTTGGTATATTAGCTGTCATGATGACAGGAATTGAGATCATTTAAATATGTCTCACTGTTACAAATCAAAGACATTCAGTTTTAACTTATAACATCTAAAATAAATCTAAAACACAGAATCTACTTGAAATCGAGCTGAAAAACAAAGCTAACGACTCACCTTGCAGTTCAGATAAGCAAACAAAGGCCCAGCACTTAGAGCCTAACACCACACTAAAAAACCAAGATGGAAATCAACAATATTTTAAGCCTGCTTCACAACATGAGACAAAACAAACTTGTCTTAGAGACTCTTTGTAGAGAAGAGTTCAAAGACAGATACCTTAACTCTAAAGAAACAACTAGATAGTCATACAAAACTGTCCATGTACAAGGCATACCACTATTAGCAACAGAAAGAAAATGCCCACTGACAACTTCTGACAGGAGAGGGTCCACTGTACAAGATGTCACCACAGCTGTTGAAAATGTAGACACGATGCTACATGACCAACACTGGACAACACAAAGTCAAAGAGCAGAAGAGATCCATGAGGGTTCTCTGGGTAATGCACTATGCCCTATCACACAGAAGAATAGACAACAGACTCTAACAGTAGTGGCTACGCAGGAGAGGTTACAGAGAACTTTAACTTTACTTCCTGGAGCTCTTGGTGTGTACAGATTGTTTAAGCCAGCACATACAACACTAGGAATGAATAATACAGATTTTTTCTAATTAGGAAGACAGAATATAGACAGTCCTCTAGGCTGAAGATCACAGTTTAGCGTTGACAGTGAAGACATAATCCCAACACTGGGTAGGCTGAGGCAGGAGGATCTCAAGTTCACAACCAGTCTGGGCCACAAAGTAAAGCCCTGTCTCAAAAGAAAATACCAAAAAGGTAAATGTGAATACCTGCATTTATTCGGTTGTCCAGTGTCCTTGAAAAGCAGACTGGATTTTCTTCTTTACTTTCCAAAGTCCATTCAAAGCCAATCTAAAGACAAAAAAAATCAATCAATCAACTCCAAGGTAATTAGATTTGGAAAGAAGAGAGTATTTTTATTAAAGGAAACAGTAAAACCTAAACAGGAAGGAAAATGCATTTGGAGGAAAGGGAAGGGAGGTGCCTGAGACAGTAAGAAGGGAGAGGCACCTGGAGTATTAAAAAAAAAAAATCAAAGATATTTCATTGTTCCAAGAAAAGAAGCCAGAACTTTCGCTTCCTGGTGAACCTGTCCTAAGAACCTCTCCTAACCCTGTGACTGACAGTTCAGACACCCAAAGGTGTTCATTCCTACAAAGTATTTTTGCCAATGAAACACTTACCAACATATCTATTCAAATTTGGCTTCTCTTTACTTTGAGTACACTTTATCAGAATGTGCTTGAGTAGATTTTATAAGAATGTGTCCTGGACAGTGCATGGCAGCAGAGATGGACTAGGAAGCAAGAGATGAAAATGGGCTAGCAGCAGTTCCCATCATCTTACACCATCACTATGGGAGACAGCATGAATAAAAACCCAAAAGCAAGAGTAACACAGAACCTATTATGTTCCTCTCACCCATTTGATGACAAGCCAGAGATGGTAAGAGAACCCTTTCTGCAATGACTGAGCCTTTTGCAGAAGTAGGATGGTAGGAACTAGAGAGATAGCTCAGTGGTTAAGAGCATTTGTTCTAGCCAGGCGTTGGTGGCACACGTCTTTAATCCCAGCACTGGGGAGGCAGAGGCAGGTGGATCTCTGTGAGTTCGAGACCAGCCTGGCCTACAGAGACAATTCCAGAATAGCCTCCAAAACAATACAGAGAAACCCTGTCTTGAAAAACCAAAAAAAAAAAAAAAAAAAAAAAGAGCATTTGTTCTTGCAGAGGACCTGGGTTCAGTTCTCAGTACCCACATACGTCATACAACCATCCATAACTCCAGAACCTGGGGACCTGATACCTTTTTCTGAGATCTAAGGGAAACACACAATGCTCAAACATACACTCAAGCAAAAACATTCAATCCACAGAAAATGTTTTTAAAACATTTATAAAAAGTAATAACAATAGGTTAGGCAGGAAATATGAGTGTGAATTTTGATGTGACAACTTTGGTTTGGCAACTAGGATACACGTACCTTCGAAAATACTCAAATAACAAACCATTTTGCCTTCAGCTTTTAAAATACATAAGAACACATGACAACTGCTTGAAGACTACGAGTAGACACACTGTCTCATATGGCAACAGTCATTAGAAAACAAATAATAATGCTGTGCGTTGTGCAGAAGTGGGACTTCAAAAGCCACGCTAAGAATCTTCCATCCACTTTGTATAGCTCTCCATCTTAGAAAATGAACTAGCTGAGGAAAAGAGCAAGGTGGTCCCTGCCCACATGGAGTTCCCAGCCTGCAGGAACAGCAGAACCAAACAGAGCCCCACAGTACAGACGGGGCATGTGATAGAGCCTGGGGCTCAGGGAGGCAGTGACACAGAACCAAGATGTAATGGATGTGCAGGGAGCGAGCAAGGGAAGGCAAAAAAACAACAACAACAACAAAGCTAACAGCTGAAAGCAGTCTGAGCAAAAGCAAGTGCAAGGGCAAAGGCTCTGGAGAGAAAGCACTGGGCTGGGGAAGCCGATACTATCCCTTCTCACACCAGGCATGAGCCAACTTGCTACGAACACAGCTGCATGCCTTCACCAAGGACAGAGCTGACCAGGAATGCCACTTTCAAACACAAAGAAGCTTGCCCCAAACCAGGAAAGGCGCATAGACTCAGAGCCCTGTAAAAGAGCAGAAGAGATTTTACTAGTCCCACCAGGCTAGGTTCCTTCCATGGGGGCTACTACATAATCCTTCTCAGTCTCCCCTCCCTCCTCTTCTCCCAGCTCCCCCTTCAAGTCCCTCCATTCCCACTCCCTCAATCCACTCCTCCTCTATTTCTGTTTAGGAAAGGGCAGGTCTTCCATGAATATCAACAAAACATGCATTATCAAGGCACCTCCTCATGTATTAAGGCTGGGCTAGGAGACCAGTATGAGGAACAGGGTCCCAAAAGTAGTAAACAGGAGTCAGAGACAGCCTCTGTTCTCACTGCCCACAAGAGGACCAAGCCACACAACTATAACATATATGCAGTGTCTAAGTCAGTCCCATGTAGGCTCCCTGGTTATCAGTTCAGTCTCTGTGAGCCCCTAAGAAAGCAGGTAAGTTGAGTCTGTGAGTTCTCTTGTGGTGTCCTTGACCCCTCTGACTCCTACAATCCTTCCTCCTCTCAACTGCAGGACTCCCTGAAGCTTTTTAATATATATATATATATATATATATATATATATATATATATATATACCATTAGGTCATGCAGTACCTAATCTGAAGAGACAGAGCTTCCTGTGCCTCACACAAGCTTTAAAGTCATTAGCCTGCTCCTACAACAGGATATCATTGCAACCTATAACCATGGGAAGTTTGGTTCCCATTCTTCACTATCTGCTGCAAACAGCACTATCCCGAATCACAGTGTATCTCATCTTCAGACTAACCTCTAGTTTAGCTGGGCAGACAGTAATACAGTTCAGATTGGTGAGGCTTAGCCTGAACTTTAAAAAACAAGGTTAGCTACTGATTCTTAGACAATACACAATTTATTCTGATGTTTTCCATGCTAAGTAATACAATGAACTCTCAGAAAACCGACATTCTTAATAATAAGAAATAACATACACAACATTTAAAAAATGATAGGACCTGTGCTAAGCTCTTCAAACATAGCACCCTAGATCTACCTTCAAGAAAGAATGACCACCCTTGTTCATGATGACAAGTAATTTTGGTGTTACATTTGTCCATTGGCTTCACCAGACTATGATTTACCTGATCACTTATAGAGAAAGTACAAGAGGAACAAAATCATTCTTTGTTTTGGAAACCAAGTCAAGTTCCATACTACAAAACCAAGTCTGTTCCAGAGGCACACACCAGCAGGAATCATGAAAGACACACTCACTGGGGATTTCAAGGGAATGTTAAGTAGCTTAGAAAACTAGAACAATAAAGAACAACCCAGAGTGTCTGGGTGAAAACAGTGAATTCCTCCCCCTATTATACTGGCAAGGATTTTAAAAAATCATTCAGTGACAGAGGATTACCAAGACTGTAGGTGCTGGTGTATGCAGGGGAGAAATCAGAGAAGGTCTATAGGTTTCTCAAATTCTTTACCACAGTCTTATGTAAGAGGCAAGCAACTCTGATAGTTTCTGACTGATGGACAAGTAAAACAATACAGCTTATGAGTCAGAACTAGTTCCAAATAAGCAATTTCTATATGACAATCCAGACAGCTCCTGAAGTACTCATGCTTGAGTAAGGGATAAGCAGATGATTACATTTTAAATAGAAGGCAAAACAGAACTGAACTACACAATTCTAATGTCCCAGAGTTATCATCAGAGCACAAGTGTCTAAGACAAGATTGTGCAGTAAAAGACGGAGTGATGGCTCAAATGCTAAGAATCCAAATAAAATAACACAGGTACTTGATTATTTTCACTAAAGGCACCATCTTGCCAGGGGCCATGGTATATGCCTTTTAAACCTAGAACTTGGGAGGCAGAAGATGTAGTCTCTCTGAGTTAGAGTCTACCCTGTTGTACATACTGAGTTTCAGGCTAAATAGATACAATCTTATCTACAATGAATTATTTCTAAAGCAGAAAGTACTGATAAAATGGGGACACACTCAGAGAAAAGGAAAAGAAACTATAATTTTGGGTACTCTGGGCTGAGAACCTGCCAGGAAGAGCCACAGAGTAAGCAGAGGCCGGGTCCCACACAGCAGTCCAGTCGCTGAGGGTTAAGTACAAAGCCTGGAGTCCTACTGACCTGGGATTCAATTTCCCAGGAAAATTACTTAACATCCCTGAACCTCAAAATTCCCAGTTCAAGTGGGTAGGTAAAAATAGCATTTACCTCACAGATTGGCAAAAGCTAAATATCACACATAAAGCATCCAACAGACTGCCACTCTCAGACCATGATTTCTGTTCATCTGATTACAGGTATGGGATACAGTTCAAGCCAAGGAGGAACCCAGGTTTACAACATGTCTTCACAGTCTATGACAGAGCAAATCACTGGCACTTCAATCTGTAGAGAGCCTGAGCTGTGTTAGGCTAATCAGTGTGAGTGACAGGAGTCCAAATGTGTGACTGCTGATTAGACGGCCTTGCTCTTTCCACAGACTGTCCCACAGCCACCATTACCCCTGTCTCCTCTGGCTTTTTAGTAGTCTTCCATCTAACATCTCTCAGGGCACTGAGCTCATTTCAAGCCTTCAGAAACTGTCAAAAAAAAAAAAGTCATTAAGCTGGGGGTGGTGGTGAGTGCCTATAATCCAGCACCCAGGAGGTTCAGAGGATTACAAATTCCAGATCAGCCTAGGCTACAAAGTGGATGTGAGGTCAACCTGGTCTGCACAGCAAGACCCTTTCTCAAAACAAACAGGAGCAGCAAAGTCATTAAGCTGCCCACCCTGACTGTGCCCCTGCCACAGCTGCAGCACACTGCCACCTTGGGGTGGAGAAGCAGTGTTGGTGATTCAGCTCGAGCCCACCTTGCCTGGGCACTGAACTTTGAGGTCCTCACGAAGGTCAGGAAAACCATCTGCTGTTTTCCAGTCACACCGCCTATGCCTCCCACCAACAGCACCTCACACTGCCTCTTCTGAGACCCCAGCACTTTGCTGAGACCTGGGTAACACTCTGCTGAGAGCACAGCAAGACACTATAAAGTGCTGGACTCCAGCCAAAAGAATGACATAATCTAAATAAAAACTTGGTAGTTTTTCCTGTCATCGAGTCAGAATTATAGTTTCTATATGCCATTCCTGTCACACAGAATCACTCTCTTCTAACTATAGCAGCGATTCCAGGAATACCCCACAATAGTAAAAGCTGCTTCATTTACAATAAACTTCTAGGGATGAGCAAATGATCAATGCCAA